GAACATGCCATGACTCAGAGCCCAACCTGGCTTTTATTAAATATCCATGAGGCAAGTGGCTTAGGGATTGCTGACAGTATGCCCTGGGGAGTCGCACCCTCTTATCTCTAGGCTCAGTGCCAGAAAACAGCATGGAGCATGGCTCTTCATCCCACCTGGCTCAACCATATATTTGTTTTTTTTTTTATTATTTAAGAGGAAAAAGAGAAAAACACAAAACAAACCAAAGCGGCGTAAGGGTACACGCAATACAGAACTACAAACAAAACAAAACAAAACAAAAAAACATAACAGTAAGAAATCACCTGCTAGTAGATTACACACTATCTTCTTGAAAATAGTTCCTCAAATCACAGTATCAAAGAACACAAGGTGGACATTCAAACAGGGAGACTGCAAACAGCTGTGTTCAATGTTCCAAAAACATTGATAAATCAACCATATATTTGAGAGTCACAGGGTGAGGAAACAGAGACTGTCACCTTGCTTTCAAGATTACACATTCAGCTCCTCAGCTAGCCCAATTTACATTGCTTAAAGCCAACTGAAGAACCAAGAAATGGCCTAGCCAGCTCTGTACTTAATGGTGCATGGAGATAGGGACAAGTTTATCTAAAACAAAGATGACTGCTCTTCTTACAAGAAGAGTCTTCCAAGTGGTTCCCCACAGGCGACCATCGATTTAGGGGCTTTTCCAGCTCCCTCTTTGACACCTTCATCTGAACTGTGATGAATCTGGGGAAGCAGAGTACTGTTGTCAAATGGACTTCTCTACAGGGAAATCCTGCCTTTCAGTGGGGTGCCTGTGAGCCCAGGATGCCCAGATGATGCTTGCCAAGTGGGACCCAAGGAGTCAGGGATGTCACTCCCAGGCTGGCCATGACCAAAGAATGACCTGATCTCTGACTTGCCACAGTATGACCAGAGATTCAGACTGATCACAACCTCTAGATGGCTAAGATCCAAAGTGACCATGACTGTGAGATGCACTATACCTGTTTTCCTAACCAGATGTCTGGAGATCCCCATTTGAGAGAGGGCTTGGCTGAGGACTGATGGTGCCACATGGGCTGCTGACTCTCAGCCTCAGGAACCTGCTCTTTTGGCCATTAAGACTCCACATTCAGGAGTGGGGAGGAGGCTCAGTGGAAAAGCACAAGTTTAGCATATACAGACCCTCGGTTCAATCCCCATCACCACAACAGTTATGCTACAATATTTAAGGGCCCATATTCACGTGGGTTTTAATTCCACTACCACCACCCCAATCTCTATGGTTTAAATTAGGAGCAAATGCTCTAAATTCAGGACAACCTGTTTCAAGTCTTAGCTCTGCTCCTCATAGATTGAGGGGCCTTGGAGCCTCTCTCTCAGAACACAGATAAGCTATCCTGATTTATAGAATCTGTAAGGAAGCTAAACTGTTCGATGCCACCGAGTTCTCAGATGGTTTGTCATCATTCTTAGCAGCAGAAACATTTGCTAGGTGCACTCTTTTGGAACTACTAGTTACTTGTCAACTACAATGGGAGTTAGGGCACTAGTAGAGGCAGATGCAAATTCTCATTGCCCATTTGCTGCTGCATAGAACTTCAAGTGGCAGGTCAATGGTAATTTCATCTATTTTGTCATAAGTAATAGGAGACAGCAGTGTGATCAGGGGCCTAAACTCTCTAGTCAGGCACTAATCCCTTCATGCCTCATGCCTCTTCCCCAAAGTCCAGCTTCTCAGACCATCTACATGTCTCAGACCCTCAAACCCATGCTGCTCTGCCCAGATTATAATCTGATCCATCTCTTCCTCTTTCCCTATTCTCTCCAATTCTTTGATTTCCCACTATTTAGGAATGCCGGGGCATGAGCTTTGACTTCAAAGAAATCATAACCAATGGGAAACTAAATGAATTTTTAATATATGTGCTGCTAAAGCAAGCATTTAAGGGAATTTTTATAACTCAAAATTGTTATCGAACATTGAAAGTTACTCTCAGACACTGACTAGCAAAATAAATGAATCTCATTAAAGAATGTGCATGAGCTTCAATGTGGCCAACAGGAGTTGATACTGGACCTGGGAAGAACCCCCTCCAGCAGAAGACCAGAGCAAAGTGGGGTTGCAGAAGGAAGGAGGGGAGACCCTGCGGGGTCCTATGGGCAACAGTGAAGCATCTGGATTTTGCTGAGTGTCATGAAATACCCATAGAAGAACTCCAAGCAGAGGAGAGAGGTGCCTAGATTTGATTTAATATCCCAACCTCTAGACACTAAGTGGGGAGTTGATAGTAGAGGTAGGCAGTGAAGAGGTTGGAGAACAGATCCAAAAGAGTGATGGTGGGTCAGGAACAGAATAGAGAAGAGACAGAAACAGATAGGCGAATTCATGACTTACGGAGGCGATTCTAACTGACAGGAAGGAGGAGGAAGAGAGGGCAGCCATGAAAGGGACCTTGGTCCTCTCCCTAACCCACCTTCTATGGCGGGGCTTCCTCCCCTCTAGCCCTTCCCCGTAAGCTGAACAGGATTCCAGCTGTACCTCTCTCTTAGCTCAGAAACTAGAGTTTAGGTTCAAACCATGACCTGGGATCCTGGGAGGGGAAGGGTAGGATGTGAAGGCCTCCAGAGACCACTCTGACATTCTATTTACTCCCCAAAGCAGAGCTCAGTGACCACCCATTTGTGGCTCTTCAAACCCTCTTCCTTCCCTTGACATGTGCTCCTGTTTACTCCCTGTACAGCCCTCAAAACAATCTCAAAATCACCTCTATATTTATTTATCAATGCTTTCTTAGACTTCAGTATTCAAGATATGTCTTGTGGGTTAGATCAACACTTCACAAGGTTAGAAACTCAATCATTTTTGTCAAGAGCAGAATTCCCAGTGCCACTCAGCGAATGAATGAATAATGTAAGCAGGAGTCAAATATTAAATCAGACAACTCTCTAGTTTAGCTTCCTGTTATTTTAAGCCAAAGAAAATATACAAGACAGTGGGGGAAGTACCTTTTTAAAGGACACCAAGAGGGGAAACTATCTTTGTTTTTGTTGTTTTTATGGTGCTAGGGATTGAACCTGGGGCTTTTGGCATGCTAGGCAAATGCTCTACCACTGAACTATTCCTCCAGCCTGGAAAAAAAATAATTATATGAAACAGACTTCAACATTTCTGCATTCCCTCGAGGCTGGAAATTGGGGTCTAAAAACTCCCCCAACTGCATTCTGTGCATCCCGCTTCTGCAGTGAACACGGAACTGTCTGGAGCGACTGTGTCGGGCTCTGGGAGGGTCCTCTGGGAACTGTGTTGGCCAAAAGACCTATCAGGTGCCCCCTGTGCTCAGCTCAGCTCTGCTCGAAGGCAAAGGCTCTCAGGACTTAGAACCCTAGGCTTAACCGATGCTGTTGCACATACTGAGCACCTGCTGTGCGGCAGCCTCAGAGCTAAGCAGAATCTCAGAAAGCAGAATCTCAGAAAGCAGAATCTCACTAAATATTGTCACATTCATCGTAGAGAGTAGTTATTATTGTCTACTTTGCAGATGGGGAGATTGAGGTTCTGAAAGGCTAAAGGCCCCATCAAGTCACCCACCAAAGTAACAGATGCAATTTGAACCCATCTTGCTAACGTCAAAGTTCTTGCTCCTCATTGACCTCCTGATGTCTCAGTTGACATCAGGGACTCTCTGTAGAATACTGCATGCTTGTTTTTAATGTGAAGAGACCGCTGCTCCCCTCCCTGCCCCATGGATGGGGTTCCTGAAAGCCTTGGGTGGGTTCCTAGGGGACATTAATGAGGCCAGGACCTGCTTTTCCTTGAATATACAGACATTGGGCTTTTCGTCTGAAAGCCAAGGACTGCTTTGGGAGCCTCTTTGCCCATTTTCTTGGCTGTGGCTGTATCAGTGCTCCATTGGCGTGAATTCAAAAGCAAGAGGCGTGTTGTGTTTTTGTGTTCACATTTCCCCTCGGCCGCCTCCCCCTCCCAGGAGAACCTGTGAGAGAGGCAGGAGGGGTGCAGCATCCCTGAGGTCCCCAGTGTGTCTATCTGTCTCTCCTCCCTGCCTAGGCAGGTCACGAGGACCCATAGCTTGCTTTGCCCAGCGAAATGTGCTTCTCAGTGTTGGATTCCTTGTGCTCTGTTTGCTTTCCTCTCCAAACTGTACAACTTTGGTGTCAAAGTCAGCCTATGGTGGCCCTGCAACACACAATGCTTGTGTGTGGTGAGCACTGGGCCATAGGTCTCTGAGCTGAATCACTGAGTGCAAACCTCAGCTGTGTGGTCCTGTGTCAGTGCACATCTAGTTCCTTAATTTTCCCATCTGTGAGACTGGGGCCATGCTGATAGGTTCCTTGTGGTGCTCTTGTGAGATTAAGTAAGGCTACGCCCCAAAGTCACAGTCCAGGCTTCAGTAGGTGCTGAGCACTCACCAAATAGGAGCTCGAGGGAGGAAGTGGCAGAAGACCCCTTTACCCCTCCTCTGGGGCCTGATATGTACCTATCCACCCTCCTAGATCTCAGCAAGTGGGGACACAAGAGAGGAAAAGAAAAGGGCAACTGAGAGCTGTGAAGGAAAGGGGACCCAGTCACAGTAGCACAAGGAGTTGGGCTCCGACAACTCCTTGCAGTGTGATCGTTTTGAATTTAGTGCCCAGAGTCCTGGTCCTCTCCATATATGAGTTATGGTGGGAACTGAGACAAGAGGGTCAGCCAAGGTAAGTGTAGAAGGAAGCCACCAAGAGCTGAATTAAAGCCCTCCTGCATCTCAGCAGGCTCCTGGGATGCGCCTGACACTTTTCGGTCACAGGCTGGACCATCCCCAGCTGCCAGACACTCCTGGCTCAGACACAGAGGACAGAAAACACCCAGACCCTGGAGGGTACTTCACAGAGACTCGCCCCAGCTGCAGGGAAGGTGGAATCTTTATTGAAGGCGTAATAGACTCAGCATAGATTCTACCTGGGTCCTGCAGCTCGGTTCCCAAGGTCACTTCTCCCACTGCAGGGGCTGATGCATTGTTCACCAAGGCAGTGGCTGGAACAATTTTCAGAGTGGGGACAGGTGGAGAAGAGGGCTGGCAGGGGCCTGTCATGGGCACCGAAGAGACCTAGGCCCGAAGACTGTGTGCAGGCCAGGCCTCTCCAGGGCTGGTTCTGGTTCCTTCTGACTGCATCTCTGCCTCCGTCACTCATGTGCTCAGCACCAGAAGGTCCTTGGAGGGTAGAACAGAGAATGACGTGAGCAGGCAGAGTGGCTCTGGGACATCCTTGGCCAGATACTGGCCAATGGGGTGTGTGTATCTCTGGGCAGCAGACCTCTGAACAGCCATGATGAATGGGCTCACATGGGCCTGCAGATCCCTGGCTGAGCCATTATCTTGCCCAGTACAGAGGACTTTGGGCAGAACCCTTCTCTCTTTACCCCTCATCTTCTTCGTCCCCATATAAGAGTAAGGCTCTAATCTCCTCTCTCCGGTCTTCCAAAAACCCAGTTCACATGATTTTTAAAACCTCTACAATAATGAAAGTAATAAACCCATAGAACAAAATAAATATCCATGAGTCCATATAGATATAAATGATTGACTGAATATAGAAATAAATGGAGGTCAGCTCTTCCTCACAGAATTCCAACCAACTGTAAAAGAATTACAGAAACAGAAATTCCTCATTATGTATGTCGTGGGCAAGAACTATTGGAGTGCACCATACACAGTGCAAGCAGGTCTGGTGAGAAGCAGAACCTGCGCGTGAACTCAGCGCACCTCCTCGCAAGACACTTACTAGTGACAAAGGGAAAATAATGCCTTTATGGTGGAGAAACAGGGCAGGAACCACCTTAAGCAAGTGACAACCGTCAGGACTATGTCACATGGACATTATGCCCTGGATATAGTATGTGGAGAAAGGCACACACCCCACTCTTTTGGTATTCTTGCCAAAAAAAATGCTATGTCAATTAAATCATGAGAAAACATCAGTCAAATCTACCTTGAGAGGCATCCCACAAACAGGCCAGGCTTTTTGGAAATGTCAAGGTCATAAAGCACAAGGAAAAGGTGAGGAGCTGCCCAGATGAGAGAACTCTAAGGAGATGTGACAATGAGATGCAAGACAGAAGCCTGCTCGAGACCCTGAACTGAACACAGGACATGGTGGGAGAGGCTGGCAAAGTTGTGTGGATTCATGGCCATGGCTCAGTGTCTGGCTTTTAGGGCCTGCACTCTGGTTACAGAAGATGCTACCATTAGAGTATACTGGGAAAAGAATATTTAGAACAAGCTGTTCTGTTATATTTTTTGCAGCTTTTCCCTAAATTTGAAATCATATAAAAATAAAAAATAAATGGCTAGATCCATATAAAAATGACAAGATGAACAGCCACCATTCACAGGGCCTACAAGGCCAGGCCCAGGGCTGAGGTTGCGAGAACTTCAGACCCAAGCCTGTCTTACATCTTCTTACAGGTACTTGTGTCATCTCCTTTACTGTTCTGAAATAAAACTCATAGGTTATATAACCTATTCATACAGATATATTTTAAACCAGTATGAGCTCTTGCCAGACTGTAATGGGGAAATTTTAAAAAATCATTTATAATAAAATACTAGTAAGTTTGAAAATAAAACTCCAGAAAGATTGGACTAAATAACTACCACAGTGCCCCAAGGTAGAATTGCTGAGATGCACATGTATCTAGGAGGATACCCATGTGTTTCTCTGACCTTTCCTGTGTTTTTCAACTTTCAGATGCTGAGCACGTGTGGTTTTTATAATGGAAACAAGCAACACTGCATATGAATTTCAAGGCACCTGCCATCATCATAATGAGTCAATTATTTCGAGAATATTTACCCAAAATCCTGTGTCCCCAGTGGGCTGGGGAAACTTCACAAGGGCCAGGACTGTACCTATTCATTTCTGTATCCCCAGTTCTTTTGGCACAGATATAGTAGGTGCTCAGCAAAAGTTCATTCACTGTACTATGTTGCATTTCCACCTTAGATAAGCCCATTACTGCTCTGAGCCTCAATTGTCCCCTCTAGAAGATGGGGACAGTGACATCTGTGATGAGCTCTCAGTAAGACTGTGGATGTGAGAGCTTGCTTTAAGGCTTCTTACCAACTTTGTTCCTATTCCTGGCCCTGTGCTTCAAAGAGAGAGGCTCTGGTCCTTCCCTTTCTCTTCTTCCCAATTGTTGGTCTGATCTTTTGCAGTGACCAAAGGTGAAAGGAAAGGGCAGAAGATGAGGACAGCATTCTGTCTTCCCTTACCTCCAAGACATCAATGTCTGCTTTGCTGAAGTCGATGCTGAGGATTTTGGGGAGAGGGATCCCAGAGCCCAACACAGCTGTTTAAAAAATAAAAGGCAATCAGGCACAGTCGACTCAGTGGAGAAGGGTCTGCCCAGCCAGAAGACCCCTGTATTTGCAAGAAGACCGGCCACCTCTGTCCCTGCTTAGAAAGCATGCTCTTGCCCTAGCCTTCCTAGTGAGCACTGAGCTGTCCCTTCCCTGAGACTCCTACGTCACCTCCTTATCAGGCTTCCTGGACCCCAACCCTTAGTATCTACTCCACCCCACCCTGACTTGGCCACGAGGGAAATAAATCAGAATGTATGAGCTTCCTGTTTCTGCATCTGCTGCTCCTAATCCATGGTTCCTTGCAGGTAAGGCTGTCTTCGCAGCACGGAGGAGAAGACAAAGGTTTTCTGAGTGAAGGAGACAAAGATGCATGGGAGGCCCCAACACATGGCTGCCATGGATTTGCCATTTGGTTTCAGGCTGAGCCTAAGTAGACCTGCTGACTAATGCTCTACAAAGAAGGAAGCAAGGAATGGAGGATGGGGGGGAGTTGATCGAGTGAAGTTAAACAGACTTCTTGACCCCTCAAGAACATTTTAGAGAGCAAACGGCATTGTGAATCTACCCTATAAGATTATCTTCAGCGTTTCCCAAGTCTTGATTGGCCAAGGAACTCTTGCTTCAGAGTACTGGTTGGCCAACGTTTTATAGAACTCAGTTTGGGAACCACAGATCTAGCCTAGTCTCTCACTTTTGAAAGTGATGGACTGCATTTTAGTGAGATGGGAGAACTTTCCCCAAGTTCATGCCACATCTTAGTGACTAAGCCACGTCAAGAGTCTCAATCTCTTTCCATCCAGGTCCACTAGCCCAGCTCATGGCACCATGTCACTCCTGGAGAACATGCACGGGCTTTGTGACCAGCCCTTTCTCTGCCATTGAGACTCAGCATCCCTTGGTGGTGAGTCTCACAATAAGAGTCTGTCTGACATTCATGTCTCTCCAAAGGTATGACTGGTGCTGTCAGTTAAGAGCACCAGCCTTCTCTGTCCCCTCTTTTGTGAAGCGGGAGAGGAGAGAAGGAATTTGGGGCTGACGTCACTAATCATAACAAGGTTGGCCAGCTGCTCAAGCAGCAGTCCCAGCCTCCAGATGACCCCCTTACTTCAACAAGAAGCTCTGAGATCACACTCGTGAGACACCAAAGAGATAATAAAGCACACCAGTCTGGACCACTTGGAAAGTTGACAAGGACATCTTCTCACCCAATAATGTAACTACCAAAGGGGCAGATTCTGGTTAGGAAGTGGGGGATATTAGTCAAGTCAACTTTAGTTTTATCTGCAGATTGAACTTTTTATAGTAAGATGAAGTCCCTGGATAATTAAAAGTAAATTTATGGTTTTAAAGGAGCGAGGAAATATCTGGACCATAAGAAAAAATGGAGAAACAGAAGGAAATACACCCAAACATTCAGATCAATTGCCTCTGAGGGGTGAGGCATTTTAAAAATTGCTCCAGACTTTCTAAGATTTGTACACATAGCCTTTTCTTAAATAATCAGGAAAGAAAGCAAAACAATTAGCTAAACAAGAGACAAAGAAGCAAATACAGGAGCTGGTCAACACCTGGAGGCCAACATCAGACTATGCTCCATAAATACACACAAGCATTATACCTTAATTAAAAATAATTTTTAAAAACAGGAAGTACTTAGATCAATAAGCTTCAAATGAAGTTCTCAGGAATGGTATTGAGGTAACATTCTCAAAAGATACGGTCAAACATACCCAGCAAACCTGATCCCTAAGCCATGTGCCCTCAAAAAGCCAAGGATGTCCACACTCACTATTCATCGCAGGCATAAAGGCCAAGTCAAAAATCTTCTCAACCAGCACCACCAAAAGGCTCACCTGTAGAGAAAGAATGAAGGTTGAATCCAGGAAGGGGGTTCACTCATCTGGAAAGGGGCTCTTGGGACCTGTACTTGTGGGAGTGTCTAAGATCTCTGGCCAGCAGAGCCTGAGCCCTAAAACCTCTCAGCTGACAACCAGTGGCACCTCGTCCACCTGGCACTGTACAGGTGGGGAAGCTAAGGTTCAGAGGGGTGTGGCACTGGCGCCAACCCTTTGGAATTCATGCTGTGACTAACGCAGCCAGCCTTCTATGGGGGTCCCATTCCCAGTAGATCTTCCTGGCCTCTGTTCCAAAGGGAGTTTTCCCTATGGCCTGAGAGTGGTACTTACATCAAAGTTGCCTACATTTGAGGTTCTGAGGTTGAGGTTGGCCCTATAGAGAAAGAAAACAGCCCTTTAGAAGCAGTGATTTCTTGGAATCACAAAGCATTTGTATTTCAGCAAACTATCAGAAGCTGTCTACCAACATCTTCTGGAAGACCCACGTCCGGGGAGAATTCATGGAACAATGCTGGTTGCCATCTACTGAGCACTAAATACATGACAGACAGGATGCTAAAGGCTTTCTATGTAGGTAAGGCTGAAATTGTAACCACTAGCTGTGTGGCCTGCCTGGAGTCAACAGTCTCTGCTGCCATGCTATTCCCAGAGGGGAGGCCTGACCCTGATGTCTTGTGGCAGTCTCACTGTGACGTCTCAGGCTCACTGCACTTGGACCTCACCAAGATGCCTACCTGAGAGGCAGGACCAGACTCAGCGAGGGTAGAAAGCTATTGGGGTCATGCAAAAGGATCAGTTCAGTGTCCAGCCAGGAGGACACAAAGGAGCCTCCATTTCACATGTATTTCACTCCTTCCTGAATTCTCATTCCTTTTCCAAGCTCCTTCCATCTCTGCTAACTCTGTTCACACCGTTCTCCCTGCCAGAAACCACAGCTCTTCCTGTGGTTGCTCCTTCTCCTCTAGGCCTCAAGCTGTACACTGCTACCACAGAACCACCACCTCCTCTTCCTCCTCCTCCTCCTCCTCCTCCTCCTCCTCCTCCTCCTCCTCCTCTTCTTCCTCCTCCTCCTGTGACAAATACCATCTCATGAGTCTCCTCACTGTTGGGCTTAATAAACATTTGTTGTGAAAAGAAGATCTCACAATCCCTTAAGAACATGCCAAATATTTGACACATGGTCTCATTAACTGTGAAATGGAAATAATAATAGCACTTCTTTCCACAGTCTAACGTCAAGAATTGAAGCAACATCTGGAACGCAGCTCCTCCGTGCCTGGCACATAGAAGGCATCTAATAAATAGTAGCTATTATTTTTATGATTCTTATGAAATAGGAGGTTTTGTCCCCATTTGTCCCTATATTATCTCTCAGATGAGTCAGCCAGAAAGTCACTTGGGCAACATCACACAGCCAGTTGGTGGCCACATCAGGTTTGAACTCATACTGCCAGACTCTAAAGCCAGTGCTGGTAGGCATTCAGTGCAGCACCCAGACCCGGATCAGCTCCCAGCCCCTGTCTGTGCTCGCTGTGTGGCCTGAGTAAGTAAACCCACCTCCCTAAGTCATCTATTCTGCGTCTTCAAAAAGACAGCAAAATAGCCCTGACTTACAGGTCTTCGGGCAGACACAACATATGACCAAGACGGAGAAAAGTATCTGGTAAAGCAGTGTCACCAGCATCACAATTATTGTTGATGCCACTGCTGCTGGCAGGAAATTCTTTCTGTTCAGTCCGCAGCTTGACCGCGGTGGCTGGCTCCTGGTGCGGTGTTAGCAGGCACAGGTCATTTTCATCTTTGCAGCCCTGACAGCCTTTCAGGAGGCCTCTCATACCTCCCTGATGGCCCTCTAACCCTGCCCTGGGTGTGAGCCAGCTACAGCCACAACAGGACCCAAGACACCTTTCTAAGGACCCTAAGGCAGGAACCCAAGGCAGAAAAGCCCTTACTTGTCCAGCTTGGTATCGATCAAGAGCTTATCCCCTTCCACAGAAAATGAGGCCAAGAGGTCCGTGTCCTGTACGGAAGAAGAAGGAGAAGGAAATGTCATTGCCACCACCCAAGGTCATTTCTGCTGAGCCTGTTGCTGTGTGCCTGTTGCTGAGCCTGAGTCTAGAAAGATGTCCCTTGAGGCATTGGTCACCCCTCCTTATACTTGTATTAAGCAAGGGGCTTTCAATAGCACTCGCCATGTGCCATATCTCTCCACCATGGGAAGCAGTCAACAATAAGAAGCAGCCAACATTAACCACTGTTTGCAAGTAAATCACAGAATAGGGTGGGTAAATAAACATTGCTCAGGAAGACAAATGCTGCAGGACTCCCATGCTTGGTACTGGTGATGTTTACTAAGACTCTCTGAGATGCCTTAGAGAAGACAGGAAGGTATCTTGCAGTCTATGAAACTTTCTCTAAGTAAACCATTGAAGGTGGAATTGGACATCATAGCTGCCAATCATAACTGCCCCACCTCCTAGGAAAAGACATAAAAAAATCTAGACTCATTCTTGTCTTCCAGCAGAAATTTTGTAGGAAAATTCTTTTTGTTTCCTTGGTCCAAATTTTGTGAATTTAATTTAAAAGCCTTATGAAAATAAAACCAAGCTCCCAACAAATTCAAAAGTGGTATTAGTAACAACAATAACAAAGATTGGTGTGGTACAGAAGAGCTGGGCTTCTGGGTGCCTGTGACAAGAATCTAAACTGGTATTGGAAATCATCTTTAGGAAATAGTGCTGAATAGAAGATAGAAGGATGTGTAGGAGTTGACCAAATTAAAAAAAAAAGGGGGGGAAGCAGTAACAGGACAGGACAGAAGAGGCCAGAGAGCGGACTGTATGACACTACAGTGTAATGGAGCCAAACCATGCAGAGATGTGGGCTCTGTTGCCCTGGGCCAATGGGAAGTTCTGATGACAGGCTATCAGCTGGCTCAGAGCTTGGGCTGTTGATGGAAAGACACACAAAGGGGCTGATGGATGGTTACAGAATGAATAAGAATTGGCCCTTCTGTTCTCTCAACTGATGGTGCAAAAAAACCAAACACACACACACACACACACACACACACACACACACACACACACACCCACACACACACACACCCACACACACCATGGCTAGCCAAGAATACCCACTTCAAGCCAGAAGTCACTCATTTCATCTCAGCAGGGATGGGAAAGACACAGGAGATGAGAGGAGAGCCTCAAGCATCTGGCCCTGTAGACTTACACAGAAGAAGATGGCACTTACCGCTTAACACATGATAACGTATCACTTAACACATGACATGTGTAGTGAGCCCTACCACATCCTGGACCCTGTGCTACGTTCTGAGGAGCCCACAGTGAGGAAGATCGTCCAAGGCTGGCCAGCAATGAACTAACAAATGTGTTTGATAATGTCCGATCAAGCAAAGTAAAAGAGAAAGAGACAGACAGACAGAGACAGAAGAGTAAAAGACTAAGAATATTTTAGACAAGGGACCTGAGAGGGTCTCTCTAAAGAGGGACTTTTGAGAAGAGGTCCAAAGGAAATGAGGGAGTGAGCCTTGCAGGTGTAGGGGGAAGAGCATTCCACACCTAGCAAGTGTGAAGACTCTGGAGTCAGATCATGCCTGACACAGTGAGGGAACATTCAAGAGCTGAGAAGTGAGCTGAAGATGATCTTGTGGGATTTATGGGACATTTTCAAGAGATCATCGCTATTTGAGAACTGAAGGAAAGTAGGGAAGTAACAATTCACATTTTAAATGGATCCCTCTAGAATAACTTCTACTGTGCTGTAGCATAGTTGACTATAATATGTTATATATTTCAAAACACCTAAAAGAAAGAACTTTGAATGTTTTCACCACACAGAAAAATGTCTGAGGGGATGGATACTGCTAATTAACCTGATTGAGTCACTACACATTGTACAAATGTTCTGAAAAATCTCATTGTATTCCAAATCTAGGGACAGTTAAGAGGCATCAATTAAAAATGTAAAGAAAGAAGATCCTTCTCCATGAAACAATTGTGGAAATTGATGTGTCTGTGTCTGTTCCCTGTTAAGTACCATGGACAAGGGAGCAAGTACCACGTGTCTTGTTTCTCTTTTCCTTGCATCCCGTAGGAAGTGCAATCCTAGTAGGAAGTTGTTATCCAGTAAATATTGCTGAATGAATGACCCAAGTCAACTCTGCCAGGCACCACAGTATATAACCCATGAAAATGACAACAACCAACACATGGGGAGCCTTTATAGAACATTTGAGCATCTTATTAACACAGATGACCTGCTGCCAAGCCCAGGTAGTAGAGCAAAGAGCAGGTCCAGAGATGGGAAGTGACCTGTCAAGGTCACACAGCTAGAAATGGTAAAGCCTGGGTGTGAATTATCCTGTGGCCCTGAAGATGGACAAGCATCACTACAGTGGAGACAATGGGGGCCTGGGGTTTTCAGGAGAGAACATGACTTTGTCTTGAGGCCCAACTGGGGGCCAACAGCACCCCACTTACCACATCAATAAGGCAGATGGTGGTCTCAACATCATTGGGCTGAGAGACCACAACCTCAGAGGTGGCAAAAACCTTCACCAGTGCCTGGTCCTTCTGCAGTGTCACCGTTGGGGGGTTGGGGACCTGGATCTTGATGGTGAGTGGGCGGGACTCAGGGTACTGCTGGAACACCTATGGGCAGGCATTGGGCCATGTAAGTGAGGTTGTTGGCAACAGGGGACTAGGATGCTCTCAACCAATCTCAGGGAGGCCCAGAGCCCAGGGCCTCTCTGAGTTGCTTCAGAACCAACATTTCCAGAGGACACAGGCAAAGCCACCATCCACTGTGGTACCAGAGAAGAGGATGTAATATCTGAGCCACTCACAGGGCTGTTGTAAGATTGAATGTGACAGTGCTGACAGAGCTCTGGGCTCAATCCTTGACACTTAAAAGCCCAACTAGGATCTCACAGGCTGCTGACCCAGGACCTGAGCATCAATCTTGACAAATTTGGAGATATTGTTTCTCCAGGCTACTGATGGGAAGACTGAGGCTCAGAGGGGAATGTCAGGGAGCCTGTGCATCTAGCCAAGTCTGTACGACACAGAGCCCCAACCCTCTCCACCCTCCCTGGAGAAAGTCCATGCTTCTGGGCATCTCGCTGTGATGTCCCCAGCCAAAGCTCGAGTCACCCATTCTGCTTGAATTTACCCATTTCCTGAGACCCACGGGGAAGGGAGTGGAGCCTGTTTGCTGCAGACCAGGCCCCAAAGCTAGATCGCTAAAGATACCAAATGGCCAGTTTGTCATATTTACTGATAACTGATTTACCACACAACTGAGTAGAAAGAAACAATTCTACATGGAAACTCCACCTTGGACAGCAGTGCTGCAGAACAGGGCCTGGCCCTGAGACTCTGTTCACTTTCCTGAATTCTTTGGCTCAAGCTCTTGGCCAGAGTAAAAATCTTGTAATTCAGTCATTCGATCACTCCATGAATTTACTCTTTAGCAGATTAGCTTTCAACAAGTCAGTTATTTGATAAATTGTTTTTTTCTAAGGTGATTTTCAGTACTTCCTGGGAGGTGCCCAGTGTCCCAACCATGGCAACCAGAGCGAGCAGTCTCGCCTTCTTCACGGAGATCCCCATCACCGAAACTGTCCGCATAGCAATCACCCCATCAGCCCCAGAGCTGATCAGGCCTCTCTGGGTGACTCTCCCTGGCCTGACTCCCCAGCAGACACACCTCTGTGTGTAGCCCAAATCTCCTGAGGCTGACATACAGCTGTCCCAAGGCCTAAGTCCCTGCTCTAGCCCAGCTCTGCTACTGCCTCTGAGCCTCTGCTTCCCCATTTATTTTATACTTTAATAAAATGGAGTGCTTATCTCTCCTTGCCCTGTGAGAGGAGCTATCAGGAACAAATGAAAGGGTGGATTCTAAGAAAATTTTATAAGCTGTAAAATGTAGTGTGCACAGGAAGCGATCCAATAAATAAAAAGTTCAGTGAGCAAGGGATCCCTTGGCCTCCTGGAGCGAACCCTGCTTAAAATAGCGGAGAACGGTGCACCTGCCATTCCGCTCTTGGACACATGAGGGCGATAATGACCACTTGTTGAATTTGACTTTGCTCCTTCAGACTTTGAGACAGGAAGCTGGAGACAGGGCAGGTAGAAAGAAGGCAGAAACACCCAAACCATCTGTGGATGTGGCTGTCCTTCACTCTGAGACTACTTCTTGCATGAAAAGCTCTGGCACAGGGCACAGGACCACAGGCCTGGAACAGGTGCTGGCATCAAAAAGGCGTTTGTTCCATCTCTATGTGGCCACTAACTAAGAGTGTGCTTGTTCCAGCACTTTAAAAATTTTTGTAAATAACAACAATAATATAATTAAATCTGACAAATGTCTGTTCGGTGCCTAGATTCCAGTCTCCAGGTCCACAGCTACCCTGAAGACTGACCATTTTGCAGATGAGAAATCAGAGGCTCAGAGTGATAAGGTCGTTTGAACATGGTAATGTGACTGGGAAGGGCAGGGCCTTACCTGTCATCTCCAAGGTCTAGCTCCACCCCTGAAAAGTCCCACAGGTCCGTGTGCGGCTCTTTTCCTACATCATCCCCTCCACCCTCCCACACTGTCTGAGCCCGAGGGACCACGTTAGCGTGGTTTCATTGACCAACAAGGACACTAGGAGGACTCAGAGGTGTTAGGACTTGTGTCAAAGTCACCAGCAAAGGAGTGGCCAGGCTGGTCCACTGCCTCCCCCCGTGGGCCCCTCCCATGCGGGCTCTGTTCTCCATGCCTTTGTCACTGCACTGGGTGGGAAGCAGGTGAGAGCCACTGCCCTAGAGCTGAGCATCTTTCCTTCCAGCCAGGTCAGGGGAGGGAGACCGCGGACAGTGGCGCTGCCCATCTTACTTACGCACCTTGGGAATCAGGGCCCCCAGAGTGGACGTGGTGAGTGGAGGAAGCTCATCAAACTGTGGGATGAGGACAAAGGTCATATGAGTGCTGGGGTGACAGGGGCATGGCCATCAGACTCCTGCCTGCTCTGAGGCATCAGTGGGGCATCTTCTTTCCCTGAATGACCCCCAGGGAACTTCCACCTCCCAAAAGCGGCCACTGTGCAGTCATAGAGTAGTCCACTGCCAAGTGGGCACCAGCAGCTTAAGCTCACCACAGACCTGACTTGAAGAACAGGAGGTGAGGTGAGTGTGATTCTTTGTTAAAGCAAAGTGCATACCATGAGTCCATGCACAACCCAGTGTCCACCAAACCCTTGACTTCTACCATGGCCCCAAACCACTTGTCCTGTTACTTGGTTTTGGCTGATTCAGTTTTAAGACCTAAGACACTAAAACAATGGAAAGCCAGTTCCACTCGGCAACCATAAAATCAGTGTGATGTAATGAAGCGTGGCCGCTACCTCCTTCCTGGCTGTGGAAGCGCTGGCTGACAAATGTTGCTCTCCCGCGAATAAAATGGGGATGCACAGCAAAAACAACAGCTAACAATGCCTATTGTTGTCTTCAAAGTAGGTATCCATTTTGTTTTGTTTTTTCCATAAAATAAAAATTTTTAAAAGAGAGATGCTTCAAACTGCAAGAGAGTTAACTAAATCCTGGCACTAAATGGACACATTCTCCGTGGAATCGAAGATTGACACAATTTGTAAATGCTCTTTTGAGAACACTTTGTTCTTACGGGAAACAAAATGAAGTAAGAAGGACAAAACAACAGGAGCAAACTGTCAGGTGGGAGGGAGGGAGGGAGATGAATAGATAAGCAGATAGAGGGGGGAGGGAGAGGGAGGGAGGGGGAGGGAGGGATCAGTGAATGAACAGCTTGATGGAGGTGCAGGTGACCAAATGACGGATAAATGGACGGTGGAGGCTGGGTATATGATGGATGGATGGATGGATGGATGGATGGATGGATGGATGTGTAGATTGGTAAGAAGATGGATAGATAGACAGATAGATAGGAACTAGTGAATCTGGGTAAAGGATATGTGTGCATGAGCTGTGCTATTTGGCAACTTTTCTGAAGGCTTGAAAGTTTTCAAAAGAGTTCAGAGAGAAAATGACTCTAGAGCACATATGAAGACAAAGTTATGTTCTTAAGTTACCTTTTTATATGGGTGGCATTGGGGAACGAACCCAGGGCCTTCGCAGTGAACTTACATCCACTCAGCCCTTTTTATTATTTTATACTTTAAAACAGGGTCTCTCTAAGTGACTAAGTTGCTCGGGTTGGGCTCAGACTCACAATCCTCCTGCCTCAGCCTCCTGTATATGCACCACCATGCCTAGTTTCTTGTCTATCTTTTAATTACTTATGTCCTTAATATAAATGGAAGAATTCTAAATACTTATACTGAGGTACATATAAGCGAACATATGTTATAACACTTTTATTAAAAGATTGAGGTGAAATCCAACAGACTTGAATAAGAGCAACATGTGCCTTGCAATGGGACAAGGTCAAGTCTGTGAGCCAGTGGAAGCCCTTGAGCACAAGCTTTGGGCAATTGCATGATACTGGCGCACAGCTGGGACCTGGAGATGAGCCAAGGGGTGGCCTGTCCACAGCTGGGGACTGACCGGGATTAGTGGAGGCCCAGGACTCACCATGCCGTCACTGATGTCAATGTTCAGCGCCCCTTCCTTCTGCAGCATAGTCAGCACCTTGCCCAGGAAGTTAGCCGAGATGCCCAGCTGGGAGTTGGTGTTGTCGCCCATGGGGGGCAGCTCCGGCATAGGTGGCCTGGGCGAGATCTCAGGCCGGCCCAGGGGGTAGTCAATGAGATCTCCTCCTGCTTCCGAGACCAGTGTCTGCAGTGGCAGAAGAAGGGGACACGGGGTGCAGGGAGGAGGGAGGCGGAGGCTGAAGTGAGGCCAGAGTGAGGGCCTGGGTGTCTCTTTTTTATGGCCCCAGCTCCACTTCAGGCTGTGACAGATGGGACAGAAGGGACCTCTTACACCTCCTGTGCATCCATGGCACAGCTTCTCTGATGTCCAGCACTGCCATCTGACAGCATGCGGGTGCTGCTGTGTGGTACACACTGGCACCTCCCCTCTGTCAGGGCCACAGTCCTAGTGACAGCCCACAAAGCTCTGTGGGGCTCATCACGGCCCCTCAGCTGGCACCTGCCCTCTGCAATATGGCTATTAAGACTGTGTCAGTCCTCACCCCTCACCCCCTCGCCCTGGCCCTTTCCCAAAGCTGCTGTGCCCTGCCAAGCGCAGTAGTCACCCCCTCCAGGAAGCCCTCCTGAACCAGGGGATCCCATCCCTGTGATTCCGGCTCTCATACAGCGCTGGGTTGATCACTGTGTATTTATTCCAGTGACGCTTCGTGGCCTGGTCCCTCCAGGAGATCGCCATCTCCCAGGACTGACTGTCTTGCTTATTGCTACTCTCCGAGTTCCCAGCCCAGGCAGGGCAGCCAGCAGGACCAGCAAGTGTCTGCTGTGCAGAGTGGGTGATTGTGAACACATTACATGTGCACACACATAGGCAAGGTGTGTTCAGCCCCTAGCCGCAGGTCCCCAGGGGCCTTGGAGAGTTCATTCCAACTCATATGTCTCTTCCCAAGTTCATTTTCAGTGATGTTGCACTGATGGGTAGAAATTGCCCTTGACAGGAGTGTTTATGCCATGGAAATCAGCAAATGTTGCTAATCATGACTTTATTTTTAGTTGTAGAGACCCAGTTGTTAAATGCATCCAGCGAAACCGGCCTCTAGCAGCAGTTTCAGAAAAGGAAGCTGGATTGTCTGGGTTCAGAGTCTGCGTCCACATTTACTAGATCTGGGAGAGTGGTTTAGCACCTCTGTGCCTCTGTTTTCTCAATAAGTGCGCCCCTCATGCTGTAGTTTTGAGGACAGACTGACTGAATCTCCAGGAAGCCCTTACAGTGCCTGGTGCACACTGAGCATTGGTGCGTGTCAGCTAGGACCATATTTCTTGGCATGATTCCTAGTGCTCTTAGTCTAGTAGCAAAACGGCCCTGTTCCCATATTGCAGGGGCCACCCTCATCACTCCCAGGCCAAGATGCAGGACTCACATTGAGGTCCAGCTCCAGGAACTCGCCGGTCACCAGCGGGAGGCTGGAGAACGTATACTGAACGCTTCCCAGAATGCCCAGCGGAATCAGAGCTGTGGGCAAAGGAGAGGTTGCAGGCTGTGTCCTCGGCTGCCCAGGCACCTTCCCTCTGTGCCATCTCAGAGGAGAGGAAGCTTCGAGGCTCTGAGTGCACAGCTGTGCGGGCGGAGCCAGCTCACACTGTCCTTCCCCAGGCCAGGGTGGATGTTTAGGGGCAGAAGGAGAGGACAGGTGGGCACATCTCCCCCCGCCACCACACAGGGCCCTCCTCCCAGACGTAGCATGTCCCCAAGCCTGGCCCTGAGCAGCCATTAGCAATATCAGCCCAGTGCTGCCAATCAGGAAGGACTTACAGTCCACGAGACCCAGCTGGTCATTGACGAGACCCAGCACCACATCCACAATGGGGCAGAGCTGTGGGAGAAACATCACGAGTCAGGCGACACTGCAGCCAGCAGGAAAGTGAGGCGCCCTTAGCAACAAAGGCAGCTCAAGTCTGATGCCTCTAGGCCTGGCTCTGTCCTCACCGTGTCCCCATGGGGAGCCTCTGTCACAATTCCCATCCTAGAGACAGGGACCCTAAGATACAGGTGATGTGACTTGTCACGTGACCTGGAAGAGTCCAAGCTGAGAGTGGAACCCAGAGCTGTGTGAATCTCAGGCACCTTCCCCTTTCCATCTTTGCACCGGTCCCTCCGTGTCCCCAAGTCATTCCCAGACCCCAAGAACCTGTCCTGACCCTGACCCCCTCCACCCTTCTAGGACAACTGCGTGCCTCTGGGGATAAATGTGGGACTGTGGTCCCTCCCACCTGCTCTTACCAGGTCAGGGAGCACATTGGCCAGGACTCGATTAACTAAGTTGTCCACGAGGTTGGGGAGAAGCCTGGGGAGAGAGGGGCAGACTGAGGAGCAGATCTGTAGCCAGGGAGGGCTCCCGGCAGCTTGCCCCAGGGGCGCCCGCCCAGGCCAGACGCTGCTGGTTCTTAGTGAGGAAGGTTGCTTCCTCCTTCCCGTTTCACCCTCGTTAGGGCTGTTGTGCCACCTGCAACTGCAAGAAACCTTCCCTAAGGGTGAGGGAGCTGCTGTTTTATCCAAGCACACAACACAGTACCCAGACCAAGCCAGGGTAATGGATCTTTGTACGCAACAGAAGGAAAAATACTGGCCAAAACATGTGTTCTCATGGCCCATATTAAAGGATAGTTTATTGCTACTGAAATGATTGGAAGATGTGATCCGTTTTATAGGCAAAGATGCTGAGGTTCAGAGCAGTGACTGAGCAGGTTCTAACTAGCACCCACTCCCAACTACCCCGCCTATCCAGCTAAGGAGGGGTCAGTCACTGATGCACAGAAAGACACAGAGGTGGACAGACAGACAGGCTTGGATGCGAGGGTTTGTTTTCAGGGCCCTGAAGCATTGGGCAGGTGAGGGGAAATGTGACCGTCCTAACACAGTGTCCCTGGTGAACTCGGCCCTTGCAAACTTTTCCCCGTCCCTGTCAAAAACATCTGGGTTCCTGCTCTGAGGTGGCAGCTGCTGCACTGTGCCAGGTTGGCAGAGCAAAGAATTCCTCCAGGCAAAGTCCTGACTGGAAATTCTCCCCTGGAGTTTACCACACATCATGGGCCCCTTTAGGAAGACTCACACTGGATCTGGTTCCCCTAGGCTGGTGAGGCCCCAAGAACTCACGCACAGATATATTCTGTGTGTGTGTGTGTGTGTGTGTGTTGAACAGCTTGCCATTAACCTGTGATTTGTGGGGTTTTTTTTGGTACCAGGGATCAAACTCATGACTTTATGCTTGCCAGGCAGGCGCTTGTGCTGCTGAGCTAATGACATCTATTAAAAACAAAACAACTTGTTGCCACAGCAGCAGGAAGCTGGGCGCATAAATGATGGTTCATCCAGAAGATGGAACATAATGCAGCTGTAAACAAAAAACAAAGGTGTGTTCGGTATTTGGACACAGAATTCTCTGATAGAGTAAAAAGCAAAGTACAAAGTGAGCTGAGAGCAGGCGCCCATTTGCAATAAAGGGAATGGGACTGAGAACTGGGGTTCATATTTGCTGCATTTAAACAGGGAAATTGGAGATTTAAGAACTGAATAACCAAAAAAATAAATTCATTAACTAGTTAATTAATTTTTAAAAAAGAACTGAATAACCACAGCTGCTTAAAGGCAAGGGGCAGAAAGACAGGGTAGAAAGGACCTCACTCTGTGTCTTTTTGTCATTTTACATTTTAAAATCATACTACTGTCAAATATATTCCCCAGTGAAAAGATGTGAATTGAAAAGTCCGTGAGACTTTTACATTTTGAACCCCAGGACCCAATTTTCTTTGCCCTCATTCACCCTGACACAGAAACAAAGACAGGGAGAAGCCCACAAGAATCAGAAGGTTGGGTTCATATATCCAAGGAGTTTTTCTGCTCCCCAAGTCTTGATAAGAGGAGGGTGGGTGCAGCGCTGGGCTGAGGGGTTGGTAAGACAGGAAAGGCGAGGAAGCGACCCCAAGGGGCTGGAGAAGCTCCTGCCTGCTGGGAGAGAGGGACTTGACTCTGTTCTGAACGTGTGTTTATCCCGACTACCACACGGGGACAGGGGGCTGGCAGTGCACAGACACTTGAAATCTCTCTGGACAGAGGTGGGGTCTTGGTCACTTTGTGGGGAGCACACAGTAGGGGTGCATTGGACAGAACAGCTGACAAATGTCCCCATGGAGTGGGACACTGGGGGACAGATAACCGTTCTGGGACGTGTGCTTTGGTTTAGATCTAGAATGTTCCCCCAGTGTGTCACGTGTTCGGGGGATGGTTAGGAAGGTGACCAGATTTTGGGGCACAATACTCAGCACTGGATTCATCTGCCAGGAGCTCAGGGCCTTAATGCACTGTTCAGAGGTGGGGTCAGAAAGCCTTTGTTCTCCTGGCTCCCCCTCCTCTCTCCCTGCTTCCTGGATGCTAGACAGCTTTCCTCCACCACGCTGCTTCCGCCTTGGAGTCAGTCCACCAGAGACTGAATCCCTAAATCCTGAGCCTCCTTTAAATGGTGAGTTTTGGGTTTTTTATCCCGGTTACATCAAAGTTGACTAATGCACCATATATTTAGAAACTCTTAAATCATGGCAGTTTATGCACGTAGAGCTTTACATTCATCATCTCAGTTACCAAGGAAACAAGAATTTATCTTCATCTCACAGATGGGGAAACTGGAGCCCAAAGAGGTCAACAGAGTTGCCCAAAATGAAGAACAATAAAGAGTAAAACCGAGCCCTAAATCTTCCTGGCCACGTGGATAAAGTCCTGTTCAAAGGCCCAGAGCTGTGGATTATAATCATTCCCCAAGTTGGCTGAAGCCTACTTTCTGGGTTCAAAGCACAACCCTTGAATTCCCATCAGGTAAGTGCCAGGCCAGGGCATGGGGAGAGTGTAAATAATTCTGTGTGAGTCTTCGCTACTCCTGGGTAGCATGGCTCTGCCTGCCCCCGGTCACAGGGAGAGGAGAGGCACCATTTTGTTTGCCAAAGGCAGACGTCTGCCAAGGCACTCCAGCACTTGCTGGACTCACCCTCGCAGCAGCTTGACTTTGATGCCCCCAAGCAGGGTGTCACACCTCTCGATGACCAATCGTGGATAACCGGTGCGGTCCATAGTCAGCCGGACCTTGGCTGAGATGTTCACCTCCACTGAGATGTCCAGGAAGCCAATGAGACTGAAGGAGACCAAGGGACCATGGGAACAGTGAGTCACACTCCAGCCACCTGCTGGCATCATTCAGCTCAGGCTTTAGCTCTGGTCTTCCCTGTCAGGCATCATGCCCCTCGCTCATCTCTAAGAAGGCCAGGAACAGAGAACAGTATAAATCCTGGCTTCCAAGGTAACCACCCAGTCACCTAACTTTGGAGATGTGACTTCATCCTTGGGATTGACTGCTGGAAAAATTCACCTCTGGGGTCCTGTAGGAAGCACCTACTGCATGGAAGGACTCTCTGAGGGTGGCCACATCCAGCTGGGAGGGGAGGTGGCCTTATAGCCCAGGGCAGATGAAGACACTAAAACTCAGCAGCAGTGTGACCCGAGGTCTTTCGCTTATAAGAGTCAGGAATCCAACCCAGGCTCTCCCTTGACTCCAACCTCCCAACATGCTAAGTGGATGCAGAGACCAGGTATGGTGAGGGGCAGGGACTCGCCAAGCTCCCCCTGTGGGGACACAGTGGCAAGGGCACGCACCTCTTCCCACTGATGGCCACGCGGGTGTACAGGTTCAGGTAAACACCCACGCCAGGCAGGAGCCGCACGGACACCCGGGGCAGGGTCAGCTCCATGATGCGCAGCCTGCACGGGGTGACAGCTGTGTGACCTGAGGCACTGCCTGTCACAGCCCCCCACAGTGCCCTACCGCTCTGCTCCTCCCCATGCCCCAACTCTAAAGAGACGTGCAGTTCACAGACAGCTCATGGAATCGGGGGAGAAGTTCAGACCCAGCAGCCGGGAGCCCGCTGTGCCTTTCTGTGTATTTCTGCGCCAAGGTGCCATTCTCTCTGCCTCGTGTGAGGCTCCTCCTGTCCAAGCTTCAGGCTCCAGCTGAGCTCCCCTCCAGGAAGCCCCTCAGCCTCTGGCAGGTGAGCTTGCTTAGCCCCCTAGTCTCTATGCCTGCTCTAACTGGCAGCTTTCTGCAGACTGTTACCCAAGCGCACATAACCTACCAGTTCACAAGCCCCTCTGGCCAGAACTGACCACTACTGTCCTTCATGTAGTACAGGTTCTACACATTTGTTGAATTAAAAGACTATGAGAAGGAGCCTGGGCGTGGTCGCATATATCACATATGCATTACACTTCCACCTAACTATATTACTATGACCATTATACAGATGAGGAAACTGAGGCTGCAGAAATGGAAAAGCTAGCACCAAGTCATACACAACTGCTTAAGACAGAGCTGAGCTCAGACGCACTATTTCCTGCCAAGACCCCAAACTATGTAAAATGGGTCTCTGCGACATCCTGTTCCAAGATCCCTCCCTGAGGACACCTCCCCCGTTGATTGGTTCATGGGGAACTTGATAGGAAACCCAGCAACCTTACCCTGTGATGCCCTGCACGGTGCTGAGGAGGCCGCCTTCACCAAACATCCCCAGGACGCCACCACCTCCGAGCAGGCCTTGCTCGCCAAGGAGACCACCTCCGCCGAGCAGGCCACCTTGGCCCGCCAGAATGCCCTCATTGGCCAGTAGGCCCCCAGAGCCCAGCAAGCCGCCTGGGCCCAGTGCCCCAGTGGCCACACCAGGAGGAATCTGCCCTGGCTGCAGCTCACGCCGCCCCCGGAGCCTGCCCTCCTCCGCAGACCGGTACCGGCCCCGGTGGCCGTGGGCAGTACTGTCCTCTCCACGGGGCAGGTCCCTGATGCTGCCGTCGGACTCCAGGATCTCACCATAGCGATATTTGCCCCCCAGCTGAGCAGTGTTGTCATTGGTCTCAATGTGACCATATCTGTAATTTCCACCAAGTTGTTTGCCATTGGTGTATTGGAGGGGGCGCTCCCGGACATGGAAGTCATTGTAGGGGACACCACCAACACCTCGAGGGAATTCAGCACTTCTGTAGTCATTATCCCGGTGCCGACCACCACCCAAAACGCCACCACCACTACCACCAAGCAGCCCCATACCATTGCCACCCAGCAGCCCCACACCACTGCCACCCAGAAGCCCCCCACCACTGCCACCCGGGTGCCTCGAACCATGGTTCCCTCCACCACCCAGCAGCCTCTCACCACTGCTTCCTCCATCACCCAGCAGCCCCCCACCACCCCCAAGTAAGTTTCCACCTAACAGGTCACTGCCACCCCCTCCACTCCCACCACCAAGCAGGCCTCCCAGAAGACCACCGCCCCCACCACCACTGTTCCCACCACCAAGCAGCCCTCCTAGGAGAGGCCCGCCACCATCAGCACCGGCTTTACCCATGGGCACCTCTCTCAGGGCCGAGCGGAAGGCATCACTCTGCTGCATTGTGCCCGAGATGGCTGTGGAGAGACACGGGGTCAGTCGGGGTCTGCACTGTCCCTGCCCAGCACTCCTCAGAGTGCAGTGTGGCCAGCTCTCTGGACCTCTGCACTCCCACCCGGCAGGGGTAGGGCAGAAAGATCCTTATGGCTGGGTCATTCTCTGCTGGGCTATGCCTGTCCTCACATTAACTAGATTTCGACCCGTCCAGCCACACCTAGCTTGATTTCCATTGTCACTGTCCCATTCCAAGTCCCCTACACTTTGCAGCTTTAAAAAAAATGTTTTTCACCCATCATCTATTCTGGGAAAATAGGAGCAGAATAACTGTCCTTGTTTGCCAAATACTCTGGGGTCTGTGCGGTGCCAGAAACCACTCAGATTGGAGATGATGGGGTCTTTACTCCTGTGATGGCTGGCAAGGACTGGGGTAGGGGGCGGGGCCCTCATTTGCCAGATGAGACAGGGATAATTACATCCACTTTTCAGATGAGGAAAGTGAGGCCCGCAGGACTCAGACCAAGAGTTTAAGATCATGGAAAGCAGGATTTGAATCGCAGGAAGGCTGATTCGAAGGCCCCAATTCTTAAACACTGCTCTCTGCTGCCTCAAGAAAATGAGAATACAGTCTCCAGCACAGTGCCGGGCACATAGTAGGTGCCTGGGTAGATGTAGCGCTCCCCAAGAAAGGGAAAGTTAAGGCCTGAGGAGGAGAAGTCACCCAACCACTTGAGGTGGACTCTGCCAGGGGGATCCTTGGGCGCTTGAGTTGGCTGGCCCAACCTGCCAGCTCTGTGCCACCTCAACCCCTTTCTGGACTGGACTCACCTTTGGTCAGCACATCCTTGGTAACCCGGAGGACAGTGTTTGTCTCTTGCAGGCTGCTACACACAGCCGCCATGCACAGAGCAGCCATACACCATGCCGTCCACATGCTGCTGCTGCTTCCCTGCTGAGAAGACAGTGAACTGGATGACTGTGGCCAGGCATGACCATCCCACCAGGCAGAGCTAAGGACCCTCAGCAAGAACCATATCAGAACTCTGAGACATCCAGGCATGGTGGAAGCTGTGATTGCAGCTACTCAGGAGGCTGAGGCAGGAGGATTTCAAGTTTGAAGTCAATCAGACCTACATAACTAGACTTTGTTTCAAAATAAAACTTGGAAAGGGCTGGGGATGTGGCTCAGTAGTGGAGCAATTCCCTACACTCATAAGACCCTGGGCTGAACCACAGTCCTGGGGAGGTGGGGGTGGGGCTGTGGTTCTGAAAAGCACCTTTTGAATTTTTCAAACTGCTGTGAGGCTGGTTGCCACAATGCAGCCCTATTAACCAGAATGTCCCGTAGCACAGTTGCCTGATTATCTCTTGAGATGAAATTTATAAAATGGGCCACCAGTAGAGGGAGAACAGGAATTCCAACAAAATAGCAAACTGATAACAGGCAGGCTGTGGGAGATCTTCTGGCACCACCCGCCCACCATCCATCCTTCTCCACGCACCATTGCTCTTTTACCCACTCTGCTGGCCCATTCATCCTTCCACCCATCCATCTATCCATCCACTCATCCTCCATGCCAACTATCCCAACTACCCAGCACCCATCCAGCATCCCAGGAGCCATCAACCAGTTATGCCAGCCACCTGCCACCTGTCCATCACTCATCCACACTGCATCTGGGCGATCTTTCAAACCTCCAGTCAGCAAACACCTCCCTGCCACTTTGGAGGACTCAGTTCTGTACCGGGAGCTTCAGATCAGGCACCTTGGATTGGAACTGACTGGGTTCTACTCCTTGGGCAAGGGACTTGGTCTTTTTTAACCTGATGACGAATGTGCTGTATCTGACACATGTAGACACTCAGTAAACTGAGGCATAGTTATTGTTTGGAGACCAATATTTCAGGCCATCAAGAAATGCATAGGGAAAGCAAAAGACCAGAGGGGTGAAGTGTGTATTGTGGGAGACTAGTGACCTCCTGGGAACTCCTGCTGCCTCCATGCCCGTGCCCACATGTCCCACTCCACCTTTGCAATCTATTCATTCACCAGCCTCAGAGTCAGCAGAGGACAGTCACCCATCTGAGCCAAACTGAAATGGTTGGCTTCATTTTCTTCCACTTATGCAACTTCTCTTGAATTTCATAAAGCCTCCAAGCTCCCCAATCCCATCTGCTGCTGTGACAGGTTTTGAGGCATTCACTTATACTAGGCGATGAAGGACTAATTACATTGAAGAATTTTTGTTTTCTGGCTTCCTCACCTCACCGCGCCCCTGTCCCCACTGCCTAGAGAACTCTGTGTTCAGACAAGGGTCACTCCCTTCAGTTACAAAGGCAGGCACCAGAGGTGGGATTCCTGCGTCAGCAAGCAGCTGAGGAGTGTCAGGGAGCTCACGAAGAATGAAGGTGCTCAAGATCCCTGTGAAAACACATGCAGCCTTGCTGGCACACGTAATTGGCATGACTTGGCCTCTGTGTGGATCTCCTTGTCCTGGCAAGGCCTGTGTGACAGGCAAGACACCCATGCTCAGAGGGCTTGCCCTGGTGGCTTTCCAGCCAGGCTGTCTCCTCAGCACCTCCCAGGCCTCAGTCTCCCCTGCTGGTCTGGACACAGAACAGGGAGGGGCTCTTCCTTACCCCTAGCAGGTCCCAGAAGCTCAGTCCTGAGAGGTTCCGCTCAGCAGCCCCTCGGCTTTGGCCTGAGCCTGGTCACTATCAGCCTTATATAGCAGCTTCAGTCTGAGCCCGGACCCCATGAGGGAAACGCCATGTAATTATGGAGATCAGAATTAGCAGAAACCGGAATCAGGATTTCTCTGCTAATGAGCATTGAACTCCAAAACCACAAGAGTTTGTGGTTTGTAGGTAATTCTAAGAGGTGTACACAGCCTTTGTGGTGACACATGAGCTGGGCTTATCAGTCCCTGGTCTGGATATGTTCCTGGAGACCCCTGCTAAGCCCCTAGGTGGATGCATGTGGGGGCCTGAAGCAGACACTGCCCATGCCAGAGGATCTGAGGGACAGACTAGAGTTGTCAGGGACCAGATTCAGCATCAGAAGACCCAGGTTCAACTCCTGCTCAACCCCCAACTCAATGTGTGACCTTGGGCTAGCCACTCCACTTCCCTGAGTCTCATAGTATTTCCAGGTGTGACATGAGTATAATGCCTGCCTTATGGGGTGATTTAAGGGGGATGAATGGGAGATGGATGTGGATCCAACACCTCCAACTTGGGGCCAGTGCACAGCGGGCTTTTTAAGACCTGCCTGTCATGAGATTTTCACACATAAGACAAAGCTGAAACATTTATACAAGGAATAAGTATATGATTCTCAGCTTATGCCCAAAACCTACATCAATCATTTGCATTCTGCTGTATTTGCTTGGCCACACAATTATCCATCCACTCACTGCTTCAGAGTAAGGTGCTGCTGCTGCACTATGGTGAGTCCCATGGCTGCGCAGTGATGGTGAGAGCAGCTGACACCTGCTGAGCTCTTGCTGCACACCAGACACTGGATCCAATGCATCTATCCATAAAGCACTAGCTTCATAGCGCCCATAACAGTGAGCATTACCATCTGATTCCACAAAGAAGCCACTGAGGCCCAACCTGACAGCCCCTGAGTGGCAGAATCAGAATTCAGAACCAATGCTTCTGGCCCCAGTTTCCAAGTCCAGGCCTCTCACTCGATGCTCTGAGAGTCACCTGGACTACATGGGTGGATCAGATCCAGCTCCGAGTACTGTGGTATGTTAGGATGTCAGCCCGAGTTGGCCCCGCTTTCTAGACAGTTTTTACCTGTAGCCTATAGTTAGGAAATTGAGGCACATAGAAGTTATGTTATGTTCCAGTCATGCAACTTAGGTAGTAACAAAATCAAGATCTGGACCTTGCTGCCCTAGCACCCAGCTGCAGGCTCTGAACCTCTTCCCTTAGACTGGGACACCCCCATGAACCCGTAGAGAGCAGCTCCTTGCAGCCCTGGTGAGCTGACTGTGCTCGAGGGGACAGGGCTGAATGGAGGCATTTATAGTGATTCCAAGTGTGTTTTCTGATCTCAGTAGTCCCTGTGTGACCCCAAACATGACACATTTGACCCCCTGCGTGGCTGAGTCACCTTCAGAGTTCATCACCTTCCAGGAAATCTGATTGTCCTTCTCGCCATCCCCACCAGGTCTCTCTAGCTCCAGACAAAGGGGCCTTTGGATGCTAAGCTCAGGTGATCCCCCTGGCGCCAGACTTTGCTAATCCTCTCAGGGTGGCCAGAGCAGGCCTCCAGGACCTGAGGGCCTAGCCCAGCCTTGCTTCTGGGATGCCAGCTCCTTTCCTCATGAGGCCCTTCCAAGAAGTGTCTCAAAGTCAGAGAGGGAGACAAGCATAGAGGGAAAGAAGAGAAAAAAGATGAAAGATGAGGGGAGGGGAACAGAGAAGACGAAGGGAGACGAGGCAAGGGAAAGAGAGGTGAGGCCAGGCCACACAGGGAAATCTGGGACTCCAAGCTGCGGTGACTAGGCCCCAAGTCTCCTCACCTCCTAGGAGCCCCTGCTTAGACCTGGCGAGGGCATTAGACAACAAGGCTGAGGTGCTCCCTGTGTAACCCCAGAACAAACCGGTCAGCAGGCTCTGAGACTGAGTAGTTTATTGAGGCCCGCAACTTTTGCAGAGGCCTGGAGTGCTCTGAGCAGGTCCAAGATAGGCCCACAATCCCCACTCAAATGGGGGCAGAGCCGCAGGGCACTGGGCAAGGTGGGCCCAGGTGGGTAGGAGGCATTCATACTGTCACTGACACAGGGTAGAGACCGAGAGGGAAGCCGAGGCAGAGTGGGTCAATAGCCAGGAAGCGATGGTGGCCTTGGGAGCCTCAGGATGCCACGGTGAGCACAACGGCATTCTGCAAAAGCAATGGTTCTTGATTAGCCTCTGTGAGCTTGGGCCCCAAACCCAGACACATCCTCACACTGAACCATCTGCATCATCTGCCACTCCACCCTGCAATTGGCAATACACCTGGAACACAGCAGGTGTCAACAAATGAATGTGTAGACAAACGGATAAATGATAATTGAATGACATCGAGTGTGGGGCAGGGAGCTGAACTGAGAGTCAAGTTCAAGAGCCATTTCTGTCAATAATGCACTGTGTGACCTTGGGCTACAGATTTGGCCTGCTCAGCCTTGGTTCTCATCTGAAAAATGGGTACAGAACCTTCTGCTCTGTCCACCTCCCAGAACTGTTGCAAGACTCAGAGTTGGGCTGGTTGGTGGTCAGCAAGAAAAAGTGTCATGATCTATTAGCCACACCTGTCACAGTGTGGGTGTTTGCTACTGTGGGCAACTCTGTGAGTAAATGTGAGGTTCTACAGGGCAGACATGTCTGAATTCAACCAGCCAGGATTCTGTAATCAACTGACATTGTCTTCCAGCCACAAGCAGAAAGGAGGGGGAGCATGTGTGTCACATATTCCCAAGTTGAGTCATTGGTGACTCTTTTAGAATATGATACAGGGATGGACCAGAGGATGAGGCAGAGCATCTCACAGGGCCAAGCAGAGCTCTCCGGATGTAAACCTGAGATCCATCTAGGCCACCGCTGCAGGGGAATCTCACCTCAATGATGTCCAGAACTGAAGTGGAAAAATTGACATTGAGAATCTTAGGCAGGGGAATTCCAACCTCCACATTCACTGTGACAGGAAATGATCAAAAACAAACATATGTGAGGACTGGGATATCAACCCTAGGGATCCTTAAACACGACCACCCTCCTAACGCTCCATCAACCCCTTGCATTCTCTGAGTCATCTGTATCCTAGCCATTTGTTCACAGGACATTTGCCATTGGACTGTGGGTGCTCAAGATCAGATCAGGTCTTGGACCTCAAATCCAGGCATAATGCAGGCTAATCAAGGTTGTTTAGATGGAAACACTGGTGCTTCGGTTCCTGCATCTTACAAATGAGACCCTTAGAATGTTCTCAATCCCTCTCTGGAGTCACTGTCCCTATCAGAGTAGTAGAGAGAGGCAACAGGAGACAATCCCAAGTGCAGACATGTCCTGTGTCCAGGAAGAGAGCAGAAGCCACCATACATACCATTGAGCTTTGGCACATACACAGCCCGGAGCACCTTGTTGAGCCATTCTTCCAAAAGGGATGCCTGCAACACAGCCCATAAGTGGTGGTGTGTGGGGGGGGGGGGTTCCTCCACACAAACAGCACCCCTCTTCCCAGGAAAGGAGTCCAGAGGCCCAACTGAACCTCCCCCAAACCAGGGCACAGTCCCTGGCAGGCACAGGGCCCATGAGGCTAGGCTGCCCACCAAGGACCCTCAGGGACATCTGATTTAAGCTGACTTCACACTCATCGTGGGAGTTCGAAAAAGGCACCCTCCTAAGTCTGTGGGCCAGGAGAGGTGGGCAGTGTCTGAGAATGAAGAAAGGAAGCATGCTCAGCTCCATAACACTGAGGTCTGACTTTTGGTCTTTGTCAGCATAGAGACCTTAGAATGTTCTAGAATAGTGATGGTGAACCTTTCAGAGACAGGGCACAACCCCAAACCCACTCATTTATTATAAAGTGCCAGCACTGCAGTTAAACCTGAATACCAAAGTTCTCATTTAGAAAACACAACTCTAACATTTTTTGTCTTAAAAGAAAAACACAATAACACACACCTTCCACAGGTTCACCATCACTGTTCTAGAACCTGTGCCCATTAAGAACCTCCAGAACTCCAGGCTCTGTGAAGCAGGAAGCTTAGGGTTCTGAGGGGCTCTGAAATGTTAGAACTTTCTGAGGTAAGGAACTTTGTTTCTTGTGTGAAGTCCCAAAACTTTGTGGGATTCTATATGGTCACAATTTTTGAGGATCCAAGAAATTGGAAGAGCGTGATTTCCACTTTCCTAAGATGATGGCTATTACAGATACATGCGTGCACACATTACACACGCACGCCTGCCCCATTGATTGCCCTCCGTGCCTTACTGGGGCAGGGCCCAGGCTCAGCCATGGCCCATGACCCATCCCTTTACTGCCCCACCTAGAGACCCTCCCCAGTGCCAAGCTTCTCCCCCACCCAGAAACTTACGTCAAAGATATGGGCAGAGGAGGAAGCCACCTTACCACTGAGCCTGGCAGAGAGAAGAGAGCATGAGGGTTCTGGCCCCCACCGTGCCCCCTGCTGAGAGTTGTCCTGCCTGCCCCAGCCACAGGCCTGCAGGACAGGGATACAGGGGTGCCAGCTCAGCTCTGCCTCCACCCAGCTGAACTTGAGACTGTAAAGTAGACCAGGAGGGCTCTAACCTCCTTCTGAGAATCATGACTACCTTTGGCTCTGTGACCTTGGAACCCTGGTCTGAGCCCAGCTATTTTACCCTTTGTTCCATGACTAAGCACTCGACACAGGATGACCTGCATACAGCAGGCACTCACTAAAGGCAGTAACCCAGCAGCGGATCACAGCTGACCCAAAGAGACCACATCCTTAGACCCGCAAAGACCAGGGCATGAGCTGATACCAGGGGGCAGCGGTAAGCCCCGGTCAGACCTGCCTTGGTCAAGGCTGTCCAGTGGCAGTGGACATGTCCCATGCAAGGGAGTAGCCCACTGGCAGCTGGAGGGTAGCTCAAGGGACACTGAAAGCAGGTCAGGTGAGCACTGGGTGCCTATGCCACACTATGGCAAGGGACCTGGGCCTGAAGCGGGGCCTAGATCACAGACCTGGTCCCCATAGGAGCTCGGGCCACACTGCACTTGCAAACCGTAAAGTGCAGAGGGTGCATCAGGAAGGAGTGTCATTGGCAGCATTGTTGTGGCTATTGTGATTATCATGTGGCCTGATTACCACAGGACTCAGGACATTAGAGAAATCACGAGTCCACATGCAACACTCCAGGAGAGCCATGCATAGGGTCAGCCCCTGGGTCTGGGCAGGCCTGTCCCCAGAACAGGCTGTGAGCAGAACCAGGTGTGAGGAAGCATCGGCTGCAGTGACCCACACTGTCCCTGTGTGGTGGGGCTGATGACCGGGAAGATGATGGCGGAGCCCTGGCTTCACAATGCTCTGACAGCAGCAAGTAGCACCTGTCTGGGTGACCCCTAACTCTTCCTGAAGACAGGAACGAGGTCCTGTTCCCAGGAGCCATTACCGTTCCAGGGACAGGGAGAGGCGCAGCTTGGTGGCCGAGGGAGCCAACTGGGCGTTTAAAGTCAGCACCTGTGCGGGAAGTGCAAGCAGACGTCACCCAGAATTCTGTGGCCATGGGGACAGGGCCTGAGCCATTCCTGGTCTCTGCCCTCCTCCAGCTCTCCTGGGGCACTACTGTGTGGCCGCGGTCATGCTGGGTTCTGGAGCTTCAGGACCAAGGAGCCCCTCCGCCAACTGCAAGGGCTGAACACTGAGCTGGTGCAGGAGCACAGGGTCAGGCCTCCTCTAGCAGGGGCCCACAGGAATGGGGCTATGGGACACAGAGCGAGGCCAAGGAACTTGGCTCAGGGCACAGGGATGGGGGCTGGGGAAGAGTTAGGAGCCATCCAGAGAGGGAGTGAAGGGACCCTCTTGGGTCAGATGTGTACTGGGCGCAATTAGTAGAGAAGGGCGGTGGGGAGCAGACAGGAGACAAGGCCTGTCTCATTTGGCAGCTGGAGGACTACTCATAGCAACTGGGCAGAGAGGGAGCTGGGGGAAGGTAACTCCTGAGCCCACAGGAACGGGACCGACAGTCCCAGCCCCATCAAAGGGGCACCAAAGAGTAAGCAAGAGCTGCGGGGATGCTCGGGGCTCAGCTTGGTGGGGTGGGGTGGGGCAGTCTCTGGGATGGACTGCACAGGACCCACCCAGAAATCAGGGACAGCTACCACCAGGCCCTACCCAGAACCCAGCCCTGGCCACGCACCTCATCCAGCTGGAAGAGGGCTGTAGGAGTCCCCTGAGGGACAGAAGATAGTACATGGATGGTGGCTGGGATGGAGACTGTGGCCTTCTTTTTCTGTAGTGTGACAGTGGGTGCTTCCTTCACCCTCAGTGACAGTAGGAGCTGCTGGCCTGGGGGCAACTTCCCCAGGGCCTGGGGAGAGACAGGAGCAGAGCAGGGCATTCAGGGGCTGCTTCACTGCCCCAGCATTAGAGTCTCTCAGTTAAGTCAATTAACAAACACTTCCTTGAGCATTTAGTGAGTACCAGGCACCACACGAAGCACTTAGTTGCAGCCTGACCCAGACAACCTGGTCTGCACCCTATGAGGCTGACATTCAGCCACTAACAGGTACAATCACCAAATCAGACTGCCTGTCTCCCCAGGGACACCGGCCCTTCGTGGTGCCCTTCACCCTTCCTCTCCATCCACCACGCTGCCCTCGCACTCCCTCTCCCCACCAACCCGCCAGCCTCGCTCCACCCCACCTCAGGGTCTCTGCACCTGCTGGTCGCTCTGCCTGCAAATGCCTTCCCTGGTGACTGCCGCTCGCCCTGCACACTCAGCTTCTGCTCAGACAGAGCACATGTGGAAGAAACCCTGCACCCTACTCCCCTCCACCGCACCATCTACTCTACCCCTGGCACTGAGGTACTCATAGCCTGTTATTTATTTGTGTGGTGGCTGGACAGCAGCCCCTGAGCTCAGGGGCTTTGTACCCACTTTTTATGTTTGCCACTTCTGTAGTCTCTGAGGCAGATACTTCTGAGCCAGCACAGGACCTAGTGTGTAGCAAGTATCCACTGGGTGTTTGTTGACTGGCTAACCAACTCACATAATCAGGAAGTTCTGAATCTCATAATATCTTGGCCTTCTAGAAGCAATGGAAATCATGGAACCACAGAAGCATGGCCTCAGCACGCTCATAGAAGGGCATCCATACCCCAAGCCCAGACACTTTGAGCTGCGAACTCATCAAGACAGGGAATCAGTAGACTCGACCTCATGGGGCCACTGAAGCTGAAGCCAAGACAGACATACTCTGGGGCCATGTGAGTCGGCCCTGTGGGCTCTTCTCAGTTCATTCTGAGGCTGACAAAGGTGTCGGCCAGGCGACACCACCCCACACTGGAGGGAACCAGGCCCGCTGTCAGCCTCTCCACTTTACATCGATTGCCCTCAAAAAGTTCTTCTGAGGATCTGACTCAGCCTCTTTCCTTCCCTCAGACTCTGCTGCCTTTTAGCCAGGGACTCTGAGGAGTGGAGGCCCCAACCTTGCTCTGAATCAACCAACTTCAAGGACTCGTAGAGCTTGTCCTCTGCACCTCCAAACTCAGCTGCCACCTGCACCCGCTCAGTGAATGCCCAAGCTCTCTGCGTCTCTTCCCATCCTCTGTCAGAATCTGTTATTAGCAAAGACCTTGTAGTGCTCATTCCCCCATCAGTATGAATTCAGATTCCCACAGGTGGAGAGCGGCAGGTCCGGGGCAGTTGGGTGAATAGGGAAGTGGAGGCTGGGCCCTGGGATCTCACATTAACGGCACTCGTCCCCCTCCTGACACTCCACCCTGTCTTCCCCTCTCCAAGACCAGTCAGCTCCCGGACAGGGCTGACTACGATCACGATGGACTAAGACCCAGAGGCAGGGGCTCAGCAGCAGCAGTGTCAGGAGAGTCGCTCTGCTGGAGCAGATGGCCACAGGCCAAGTGGCTTCTGCGGAGGTCAAAACCCATCCTCTCCCTTCTAAGCAACTCCCTGTCAGGAAAGGTATTATTCTTTCACACTTCAGGGTGAATCTGCCTTCAGCGTCCATCACAGTTGCCTGGAGAGCTGAACTGAGAAAGATGCCGGAGTCCACCCAGCTCACAGGACAAGAGTCGCAGTGTCAAAGCCACTCACCTCTGGGACCAAAACTGCCAGGTATGTGGTTGTCAGCGGAATGTTCTTGGGAACCTAAATGCAAAAGCAAATGGGAGAGAGGTGGATGAACACACAAACAGGACAGGAGCCCATGGCACACATGGCAGTGCTGTCCCCGCTTCCTAGATACCCAGGGCTGCAAACCCGCAGGTCTGTTCTCTTCTCCTGGGTTACCAGGGACTTGACCTAGAGTCTTTGCACCGAGCTACATCTCTAGCCCTTTTCTCTTTTTATTTTCAGATAGTTAAGAATCCTTCTTAACTCAGGTTTAACTAAGTACAGGGCCACTAAGGATTAGGGGTGTTCTCCCCAGGAGCTGGGACAGGAGGCAGCAGTGTTCGCACCACACATTTGCCCAACTCTGTCCTGTCATAGGGCAGAGGGCCCAGCAGAGCTGATTGGTGATGGTGTCACAGGTATGACGGAGCAGGAGACCATGTCCTCTCCCCATGCCACTCACCAGCTCGGGGGTGATGTCTATGTCCAGGGCACCGTTGGTCTGCAGGACCCCAAACACGGTACTGAAGAGGTACAGCGGCACAATCACCTGGGATGTATGGTCCTGCTTGGGAGGCACCTTGACTGGGACATGGGGCTTAGGGAAATCAATGATGTCACCAGTTGCACTCTTCACGATGGACTGCAGGGGCACAAGACAGGGCACAGGGCGTCTCTGGCTGCTCACCAGTAATGGTGAGACCCCCACCTTCCACCTCTGCCTTCCTGGACACCCACACAGCCCCCTGCAGAAGGTGGCCTCCTTGGTGGGCACTCACGTTGATGTTCAGCTCTATGTACTGGTTGGAGATGAGGGGCAGGGTGGCCAGAGTGAATTCCACGGACCCGAGCGCTCGGAGGGGCACAAGGGCTGCGTGGGAAAGGAGGAGCAGAGAGACTCCATGAGCAGTTCCCAGGGGAAGCAGCCCCACCTGCATTATTCAGCATCTCCCGCATGCCTAGCATTGGACTCAGTCTTCACTCGGGGCTGCCATCACCCTTATTTTTCAGGGAAAGAAACTAAGGCTCAGATGATGGAAGTCACCAGGCTGCACATTACAGAGAGGCGAAGCAAGATTCCTGGTTTACAGAGCTGGAGCCACCAGCCATGGCCACCCATGGTCTCTAACCCAGCACTCTCAGTGGGACACCAAACCCCCAGGGCTCCAACCTTCCCCTGGCTGTGCCTTGGTGTTCTTTCCAAAGCCCTTTTGTGAAGTAAGGGCACCGCTCTAGGAGGTACAGAGAGACGGGGCCCTCGGCTGGAGGCTGGGGAGCTTACTCGGGTCCTTAGGGCCTCCGTCTTCTCATCTAAGCAGAAAATGATGTTTTCGTCCTGTTCTGACCATGGGCATTCTGTAAATGCCAGTTTGCAGCAGCCCCCTGTTGAAGTCTCAGCCCAGAACCTCCCCAAGTCCTCAGTGCAGCCTGCCAGGCTCCATCAGAACCCACCCTACCCCACTGGGGTTCCAGGAAAAGGTGCCAAGAGGAAGGGGCCCCAACTTACAAAGTGTGACCCCCAGGAGCTCATTCATCACGCCCAGCATACTGTCCACCACGGGACACAACTGTGCAAGGAGGAGACAGATGTTATGGGAAACCCAAGAGTGAACCCTGGTTGGTACACGTCCTCTAAATGAGTTCCCCCGTGGTGCCAGGGACGGGAGCAAAGCAAGATGTGGAGATGGGTGGGGAACACATGGCTCGGGACATGGACGAGTTGAGTGAGCCCCCAAGCCCACTTCCTTCTATTACACGAGCCTCAGCAGAAAACTTCAAAGGTTGTTGGGGAAATAGGGAGATCGGTTTCAGAGGCCAGATGAGGGAGGGGAACAAAGCCCTCCCTGAGGGTGCAGTGCTGCTGAAATTACCTGGGATGTAGCACGCCCCTCCCACCACCTCAGGTGGTCATTGGGAGGCCTAGAATCAAGACCCTACAGTGGGATGCCCCCTCCCCTGAACTGTGAGAGCTGGGCCAGGAGCCAAGCTGTCACATGTAAACCACCACCTGGTTCTCTCACCCAGAGCTGTGATAATGGGGAGCAGACAAAGGTTTGGACTGAATGCAAAATCTGAGTCCTAGAGCTTGTCAAAGTGAGACCCAGCCAGCCCTGCAGACTACATCGGGCCTGGAGAAGGAAGGCTACTGGCCCATGGTCACAGCAACTTGCAGGCAGAAAAGAAGGGCTCCTGCAACATTGTGGCCCCAGACCAGAATCTCTGGGATCAGGCAAGCTGCAGAAATGACAGGAGGAAACCAAAGGGCTGGGGTGGGATTGGGTGGGGGGCCAAGCTACAGGAAGGAGGTCCCAGGCACTTGGGTGTGTGTGGAGGGTGATAGCTCAGAGAGCTAGAAACCAGATTAAGAGAAATCAATCGCTAAATCTCGGCAGTAAGCCTTTTCTTATCTGAAAACCTCCTAATGTGGCATGGAACCCAGCTTCCAGCGGGTTGTCCCAGGGACCCGAGGTAGGGGCTGGGATACAGATGCAGTCATGTCCCCTCGTCGACATCCAAGCGTAGATCCCCTCTCCGGTGTGGATGTTTCTCCAAACTGATTTTCAAGCCCAGAGTACGGGCATCACCCCACCTCCCAGGAGGCCCTGTTGCCCTCTGCTGTCTGTGGAACCCCGCCACCCTCAGTGGAACACAGCTGCAGCCAGATGCGAGTGCAGTCTGCTTCCTCTCATTGAATGCAGACAGCCACAGACGCCACCTTGAGCTGCCAGTCAGACAGCGTCTCCTCTACCAGGTGAGGATACAGATGGCGTTTTCTAGGTGATTGCCGAGCACAGGGCTCCACTTAAAATCCAAAGGGCCAGTTTTAATTGAAAACTAATTTAGAGAAAAACATTAATAGTAATACAAGTGGCGAAAATAGAATGGGGGAGAAAAGACGGACTTGGGAGCAGGGACACTTCCTGGAGCATAAGGCTCAGGCCAGAAATCAGAGAATGGGGAGGTTGTGCCTGCTGGGGGCCCAACAGGCGGCACCACAAGACGGCCCTGGGGCTGAGAGGGGACAGGCACGCTAATCCCAGCAGGCGCCAGCTTTACGCCGAAGAGGGAGGGGCTGCCTTAAGGAGAGGCCAGCGAGGGGAGGGGCCAGCGAGGGGAGGGGCCAGATAGAGGAGGAGCCAACGAGGGGAGGGGGTCAGAGATGGGCGGGGAAATGGGAGGGGCCATAAAGGGGAGGGGTCAGAGAGGAGAGGGCCAGAGAAGGGAGGGGCCAGATAGGGGAGGAGCCAGAGGGAGGAGGAGCCAGAGGTGGGAGGGGCCAGAAAGGGGAAAGGCCATAAAGGGGAGGGGCCGGAGAGGGGCGGGCCAGAGAGGAGAGGGCCACAGAGGGGAAGGGCCAGAGAGGAGAGGGGCCAGAGAGGAGAGGGCCAGAGAGGGGAGGGCCACAGAGGGGAAGGGCCAGAGAGGGGAAGGGCCAGAGAGGGAAAGGGCCAGAGAGAGGAGGGGCCAGATGGGGAGGGGCAGAGGGGAGGGGCCAGAGGAGGGAGGGGCCAACCCGGCCCCCAGCCTCACTCACCAGGTCAGGCAGCACCTTGCACAGCATCTGTTCCAGGACTGTGAAGAGTGGTGCTGGCAGCAGCCTGGGCAGAGGGAAACAGGAGGCTGTGACTGCCCACAGCGTACAGAGGATGAGCAGGCGGGGTGGGCACTGGGGCTCTGGTTTCTTCTGTCCCCTCTCTCAGTTGGGGTTTGCTGGGGCTTGGGGGCGTCTGGTTTAATCCCTGGCCCCACCTAAGGCCCCACCACCACCCTCGGCTGGCTTTGATTTCCCCATATGGGCAATGCCTGCCTGTCACAACTGCAGGTGCCCGGACTGGATGGGAGTGGATTCGAGCATGGTGTGCGGCCTGCATCCCACAGGTGTCTGAACCCTTTCCTCCAATACCTGGGTCTAGAATGGTTCTGACTTAATGTGGGGCTCAATAAATATATGTTGACTGAATGAATGAGTAAGTGGTCTGAGGACAAAGTCCCAGTAGATGGGGGCACAGGATCACACCCCACAGAACCACTACCATGGGACAATATCGTCCTGGACTCCACCCCTCCAAGGCCCCTCCAGCCCAGAGGAGCAGGACCCAGCCACTGGAATTTAAGGAAAAGCCCTCTAGAGACAGGCATTCCCCCAGGGTTGTCCTGCTCCTGGGAGCTGACACAGCTGCCAGGCACCCGGCACTGCTCACAGCTGCTGGTCAGTATGAAGAGCTAGGGGAAGCCTTGGCCCTCGTTGGGGAACCAGCCCATCTCCATCCCTGCTGTGAAGCATGTGACACTGAGTGAGCCCCTCCCCCTCTCTGAGTGACACTCAGCACTAGGGAAGTGAGGGCCACCTAATCCTGAATGGAGCCCCAGGAAGAAACAGATGTGTTTTTCTGGATTATCAAGTCCATCCTCTCCTTATGGGGATGAGAAGATTACTCTAGGGTCACAGAGACGGGGCTCTCAAGTGCTAAGAGCAGAGAGATTGCAGCAGATGGGTAGGGGGTCTAGGCAACTCCAGGCCAGCCCCAGCAGGGAGAAGGTCCTAGAGAAACAGGACCACCCAGGAGCAGGCAGCGCATACTGCAGGCGGGGCAGGAGTCCCTGACCCTGTCCCTTGTCTGATCTGTGGTCTGTGCAGAGACTGAACACCCCGCCCCCGCCACCTGCTTTGGGTGCCAAAGGAGATCAGGTCCCGTTCAGCTGAGGCTCCAGGCGGTCCAGAACAATGGGGACACAGACTCACCCTGAGAACAGGCTGATATGTCCCAGCAGTGTGCTGCAGCGCTTGAGGATCAAGATGGGCGTCCCTCGAGAGCTCATGCCCAGCGCCACCCGTGAAGACACGTTCACCTCAGCTGCCAACTGCAGGAGGCCCCCTAGGGGGCTGCAACACCAGACATTGGGGTGTGAGCAGGCTGCCAGGCCCCACCTCCTGGGCCATGTCTCAGCCACACTCCCCTCCCCATCCCATGTCCTTCGGGTCCTGAGGAGGGACTGATGAGTGGACTTGTGAGTGGCTGGGTGCCTCCTGATTGTTACACTGTATGTACCTCCCTGCCTCACCTGTCTGTCCCTGAGCCCTCTCCCTACCCCCTCCGGTGAGTCCAGGCAGTGGACTGGTCTGGAGACCAGGGGGCCAGGGGTTGGAGGCCCCCAAGAGGAACAAGGAAGAAGGATCCAGGGCACCTTAGTAGGGTGGGAAGAAACTCAGGGTGTGGGATTGAGGGCCAGTAGGGTGAGAGTCCCTAGTAGTACAGGCAGGTGAGGTCTCCAGGGCGCACTCACCCTGAGCCACGCAGCCCGACCTTGGTGAGAAGGTTCACCTGCACCCCCAAACCTGGTAGCAGCTTTAGCGACACCTCCGGCAGTGTGAGCTCCTCAATCTTCAACCTGGGGTGGGAGCAGAGGTGGGGCTGCTCACTGCCACACGTACCCCCACCCCACTGCCAGGACCTGGACCATCAGTGGCCCGAAAGACCTGGAGTCCCTCAATCCCACCTCAAACCTATGGAACCAACTGTGGACTCTGGGGCCAGTTACTCTCCCTCCCTGAGCCTCAGTGTGCTCATCAGCAAAGTGGGGCAGCACTGGTACCTGCGTCATAGGGAGGCAGTGAAGAGGAGTGAGATGATGCCAGCCCCGACCCCAAATGCAACACCAGCGTCACAGTTGGAGGCTCAGTCAAAGAATTTCCTCCCTACACTTTCCATGGCCTCCCCTTGGCTAGGATTCTGCCCTGGACGTTGCTGCTGCCTGCACGGCTTCAGTCCGCTCTCACACACCCAGCCAAGGCTTCTCTGGCAACACGCTCACTGCTCATTACTCTCTGGCTGAGTCCTCCCAGCTCTCCTGATCTCAGCCAGGGCATCCTCTCCTCCAGGAAGCCCTCCTTCCTCCTCTCAGCCTCAAGCAGACGCCCTCTGTTCTGCCCCTTTATCTGCCTGAGTCTGTGATTTTGTCACTGTCACGTCCTTCCAAGAGTGTTTGGAGGCCAGGATAATGTCAGGTCCACGTCTTGGACCCCAGCCTCATCCAGCAGGGGGGTTCTACCGTGGGAGAAAAACTGACTCTAATAACTCTCTGTTTGGTGTTTGTGTGTGTTTTGTTTGTTTGGTGAGAAACGGTCTTGCTATGTAGTTTAGGCTGTCCTTGATCTCACTATGTAGCCCAGGCCAGTTTCAAACTTGAAGCAATCCTCCTGCCTCAGCCTCCCAAGTGCTTGGATTACAGGTGGCACCACCACATCTCGCTGCCTCTAACAATTCTAGTAGCATTTACTGTGTGTCAGGCTTTATTTCAGCTGTTTGACACACATTAACTCATTTTCTTGACAACAATCCACTGAATTGCAACCAGTCAAAACCAAAGAATTCTTTTTTTTTTTTTTTTAGCCAAAGAATTCAAATCCTAGCTCTGCCACTGACTGCAGTTACATTGCTGCTGTGGGTCTCAGCTTTCAGATTTGTACAATAGAGGTACTCTAGACATGTGTGCTGTCTTAAAAGGTAGATACACACTCTCCTTTTTTTTTGCTCCAGTACCTCATTCCTGTCTGTCATCTCCCTGTATCCTAGTTCCTTCCTTCCTTCCTTCCTTCCTTCCTTCCTTCCTTCCATCTTTTTCTTTTGTCTTTTAAATAGTGGAGGCTGCAGCCAGCTCTCATACTGAGCCACATTCTCCAGCCCTTCTTGCTTTTTATTTTGAGACAGTCTGGGTAAGTCACTCCATTGCCCAGGCTGGGCTCAGGCCCTCCTGCCTCCGCCCTGGGTGCTGGCATGACAGGTGTGCACCCAGCACTCCTCTTTGACCTTCCTCTGACTCACCACAGTCTCGGCCAGGCACTGTAGTAGCCCACACTTAAACACACAGACGCGGAGCCACCCCCACCCCAGCTACATGGGCATGCGTCGGGCGCCTCACTCTGACCTCAGCCTGCTCAAAGGCTAAGCGCAGGACAACTGTCCCACCTCTAGCTTCAGGAGGACACTTCACTGGCAATACTTAGCCTGGTGTCAGACACACAGAAACCCGGCATGGGTAATCCGTAAATATAATTACAAATTGTTATGTGATTTCTTTATTTCACTCATTAAAAAAATTATTTTGGGGCACCCCTTGTATGTCAAGCCCTATTTTTGATATGAGGACACTGCAATGGACAGTTCAGATAAAACTCCTAGGGTTTATAAACCAAGGAGACAGAAATGAACTAGTAAAATATACAGTGTGCAGGAGAGTGACAAGTTCCCGAGAGACCCTTGGCACAACCAGGGGGTAAGAGGGTCAATGTTGTGGGGCAGCAGTGCACACCTGCGATCTGCAGTGACTCACCCAGAGAGCTCCTCCACGACACTGAAAATCCCTCCAGAGCCCAGCAGACCGCCTCCTCCGAGCAGCCCCTTGGAGCCCACCAGGCCCTGGTTTACTGATGTCACTGTGCCCAACACATTCTGCAGGATGGGCCCCCCAACCAGCGAGTTCTGGATGGCTGCAGAGGATGAGAGTGAAAGATGCTGGAAACTCCTACTCAGCTGCAGGACCACGGTCCCTGCCTCTTTCCCCTGAGCTGCAAGAGAGCTTCAGGTGCTAGAGATGGAACTCAGGCCCTTGTACACAGTAAGCAAGTGCTCTGAGCTATGCCCTGATCCAGGAAACCTCATTTTTATTGGAATTGACCCACAGGTTACACAAACACCCCCTGCTGCCACCGCAGGGTCGTGACTTGCCTGGCATGCAGAAGGTACCCAGTAAGTGTGTGGTATGAACGAGTGAACCCTGTGGGCACCCCTTCATTTTGCGGATGGATAAACTAAGGCCCAGAGAGGGGTAGAGGCACCCAAATTCACACAGCAAATGGGCTCCTGCTCTTTGGCTAGCTGCTGCACCAAAAAGGAAGATGGGACAGAGGACAGGGAGCCACAGGGGCGTGATCATGGCGGAAGAGACGTCTCCCTTCCCGGGGGCACCAGGGGTGGCCTCCCTGAGTGCTTCCTGTTCACAGCCGCTCTGCTTCTTCCCTGAGACTCTTGCTGCTGGGCTCTGGAACAGCCAGTGCCTAATAAACGGCCCACACTCGGAACCCTGGGGCAGAGCAGGGCCCAGCTGGCTTGACTGTGACTCCTTCTGTGACCTCCCCAGGCCCCAGCAGTCCATACACAGCCTCAGCCAGATGGCCCAGGTCTGTGTTTAAAGGAAGAGCACCAGTCACCCTCTGCGCTCAGAGCTCAGAGCCAGCCCCAGCCTCCCACTGTTGCTTCTAGAATCCCGGGAGCACAGACTTTCCAAGAAGGCCAAGCTCTTCTGTCTCTGAGGGCAGACACAGCGCATACCTGATCTCACCTTTGCTGAGTTCATCCTTGTCGATCCGAGCGAGAGTGCCCACGGTCTCCAGCAGCCCTTCGCATGGGGTCACCAGGCCCCAGAGGAAAAGCAAGGCCCACACGCCCAGCATCATCGGCCACACACCTGGAAAGGGTGGGAGCAGGGACGCTGAGACCGTCCTCGAGCCCTAACCTTTCCATGCTTACTTCTCTCTTGTCCACCTGGTGAAGCCCACAGTCAGGTCCACTCCCAGAAAAGCCCTCTCCAGCCAGGGGTCCAGGCTGCTCAGCGCAGCCTCCAATATGCACTGAGACACCCACGCCCTTTCCAAGCCTCTCCCTCCTTGGATCCCACTTCACAGATGGGAAAACTGACAGGTCAAAAGCTTGGAGAGGCCTTCACGAAGGCCTGAGAGCTCATCAGTGCCAGGGCCAGAATTCCAACCTGAGCCTGCCTGACTTCCAAGTCACAGTGTGACCCTGGTGAGCCTGTTGGGGGTCTGCAGTGAAAGCTGCTCAGGGCAGTTCCACATCGGCAGGATGAGAGCTGTAGTTCTGGACCAGTTCCTGCCGGCTCATGCTGGTTGGAGACACCAAACACCTAAGCTTAACATGCACCACCTCCCTCATCTTCCCCATCTCCTTCCCAATGCTGCTGTCGGGGAGATGGGACTGAAGACGGGAGCGAGGCTAATCACTAGTCTCATTGAATAGCTTTTCTTTATAGACGTCCCCATCCTCCAGCCCACATATTCCACCTGTCCCCTGATGTCACCCTTGCTGAAACTCTTGGGTTAAAACCCAGGCTCCTCATCGACCCACAAAGTCCACCTCTGCCTCTTTGAGTGCCTTGGCCTTAAGCATACCAAGCCCATTCTGACCTCAGGGCCTTTACACATGCTCCTTCTGAAGAGAAACCTCTTCATCTGAGTCACTGAAGACTGAGCTTTATCTTCCCTGTTTCCCTTTTTCCTTGTCTAGAGAAGCCGGCCCATCTCTGAACAGCTCCCAGAAGATGTATTTGAAGGTGCTCGTCACAGTGCATTAATATGGCATGTGAGAGTGTCCCTGTTCACCATCTCTGGAAGCTTCCTGAGGGCCTGGTACTGTGTGTGGCTTCTACCTTGACTGCACATTGAAGAGCAAAGCTGGAAACCTGCATCCCTGTGCCCTGGTACTGGGTCAGCCCAGCCGTGCAGCACTTTCTGCACTTGATGCAGAGATGCTATATATGCCACGGTACATCCTAGCAGCAGGCTTGCTACGTCCATCTAGGTTCCCTAGGTCTCCCATCTGCACCTCTGGAATTTCTTATGGAAAGTGGGAAGCCAGTCAGTCAGTCCCATGACTTTAGAGGAAAAATAGAGATCCCTGGAGCCAGTGTCCTCCATTCTTGACGACCTCCCAAGTGTCCCTGCCCCTCTTAGGGTGCACTGTCCCTGTGCCCATTATTCAGATGGCATGGCAGGAGGTCAAATGGCCAAAGGCTGGAGTCAGGACAGGCCAGGGGCTGCCTTGGGCAGCCTTACCCACTGCTCCTGCTGCTCCACACGGGTGGGTGGGGACTCAGCCTCCCGTTGGTTCCTCCACCCATCTGAGGCCAGAACAGGCCCTTATATGCACACAGCAGCTATGGGGACACAAAGCGGGCACAGCCGCCAGGAACCCGTCAATATGTCAAGTCAGAAGCAAGTTGTGGTTTTCCCTTAGGGCCCAACTAAGCCTTCCTTCTGTGGGAAAGGGAGGAGGCTGCGGTGGGTTCCCAGGAGAGGGGCCAAGGCGTGGGGGCTGCAGATGCTGCCACCTCCCCCAGAGCTCGGTGGGGTGAGACCCTGCCACCCCAGTTGGGCTCCCTCCAGTTCCACAGAGCCACCCCCACAGTACAGAATCTGCACCGCCTTCCCCCACCTCACAGAGGCCCAGGAAGGGAAGGAAGCAGCTCAAGGCTGCTGGGCCTCTGACCCTCTGCCACTGGGGCCCGGCAAACAGCTGGCCACCAGCCCAGAGAAAGGGACTCTGGGCTGTCATGGAGGAGGCACAAAGCTACTTCCACCTCCCATGGCCCAGTGTTCTCAGCACTCCAGAGTTTTGCCCCTTTTCAGAGGCTGATTCAGATGACAGTGAAGAGAAATTCATTCCTCTTTCATTATTTATGCTAGCAAGCGTTAGCACCAACTGTTTGCCAGATGCTGGAGACAATTCAGTAAGCAAGAGGCAGAGCCCTGCCTGGAGGAGCTCACTGGCACCAATGCAATGCTGTTTGAAGTTTTCCAGCAGCCACAGTTTTTTTTTAAAAAAAACAAAAAGTAAAATTTTAAAAAAGACAATGAAATTAATCTTACTAACACAGTTTTACTTAACCAGTATATCCAAAATATGACCATCTAACACATATTCAGCATAAAGTTATCAGTTATTCTTTGTGCTTTGTTTTTCTCATATAACCTAGACTAACTTTTCGAAATCCACAAACAGCAAAACTAGAGCTTGCCACGTTTCAGGCGGTGACCTCGCGTGCCATCATAGCGGCTGCAGGCTTCTGAGGGAACACATACCCACAGGATGCAGGAGTGAGAAGCTGGAGGCCCAACTAAGCAGGGAAGGGCCGGGAGCCACGCCCAGAGCCGCAGCCTGGGGAGGCCGGGCTGGGGCAGCATGAGGTGGCTGCTGCAGGAAGCCCAGAAAGGTTCAGGGCCACTGCGGTGCCAGTGTGGACTCATAGGCTCTGGCTTTTATTTGCAGTTCCTCGGCAGGTGCCTGTCCAGGAGATCCTTCCTCCAGAGCCGATGAAGAGCCACCTCTGTGCCCTCGGTCCCTGGGATCTCCTCTCGCAGAGTGATGACACGCCCAGCACGTCCGGGGGTCTGTGCAGGGCACAAGCACCAGCCTGGGGACAATGGAGAGCAGGGACCGTGACCACAGTGACTGAACCTAACCTTCCACCTATTGACCCTTGTGACTCATAGCCTGCTTCTTAACTATAAAATAAACCTTGTATGAAATGTAGACACGAGCAGAACAGAGCAGAGCTCAGGTGTACCACTTCATGCGGTGCATAGAGGCCTCCAGAAGTCTCCGTGTGTCCCTGCCAAGCCACCCTTGTCCTGACACAATGGAGGAGTCCCTGTGTGCCATGATGTGGCATGTGGCACATGCACAGGGACAGCTGATGGCGCGCGTGTCCTCTGCTGGCTCCCCGCACACGGTGTCCATGGCGCCCTTTCGCATGGTCCTGTGAGGCTCCAGCCGCTCTTTGCCGGGGACACACTGCACGTGCACGCCCACCCTGTGCCTTCCCTGCCCAGAGACTGAGCCTCCTAGCTGTGGCTACTAACTGCCACTGCTGTAAAAATTCTTGCCCGGTCCCTGGGGGATACATGTCTTTTATTTTCCTTTTCTTTTGGGTGAACAACTAAAAACAGAATCGTAGGATCTATGTGTATGTATGCATAACTAAATAGGGACCCACTACGGTGCCCCCAAACAGCCACCAAAGCCACCACACAGTCCTACTCAGATCTATGGGTCACAGGTATCACTCTGCAGCCCGTGCTGCTAAGACAGTTTAAAGGAAGAGAAAAGAAAGCCAACGCCTAGCGTTTCCTGAGCACTAACTGTGTGGGTGGCACTGGATTTTCGTGATTGCAGCAGCTCACCAGTGCTGCTGGTGCTGAAGCTGTTCCCTGTTTCCGCCCTAGGAGCCAGGGCTCGGGAGAAGCCGCTTGCCAGAGTCACGCAGGGTCACGCAGGCCCCTGACTCTGTGCCCACGTCCTCGCTGCTGCGTGGCTCAGGCTGTTGGAAGAGAGGAAAATGCTACCAAGTTCCCCAGTTCCTGCCGGACCCCATCCCCAGGGGACTCCACTGCCCCCATACTCATCACCCCACATCAAAGCAGGGCCAGGGACTGGGCTTGTGTGAGGGAAGACACATCCAAATCTGTGTCCTTGAGCCCCCAGCTGTGGCGACTCTGACTCCTCAGTCGAGGTGCAGGGGCCAGGATAAGCATGTTTCCCGGCCTCCGAGGCAGCATGATGTGCAGCCATGGCGATAAATGTGGTAAAGGTGCTGGGAACCAGGGAGGCACAGAGCAGAGAACTGTCCCTCACATTTGCCCCTGCTGAATCTGGAGCTGGAAATCCGCTCCATCCCTGCCATGCACTATCAAGCATCAAATGACTTACCTCCAAGAACCACAGTTTACCCAACCACAAAATGGACAAACGGGCCATGCGTGGGCCACTGCCAGAGTGGGGACAGCCAGACCAAAGCATCTCCATGAATCAGCACCATTCACTGACTGCAGAGGGAAAAAACAAGGCCTCACCAGGAAGCAATCCCCACCTGGAAACCATGTTTTCATTGTTTTGTTGGGTTGGGTTTTATTCTCTTTTTTTTTTTTTTTTCCCCTTGACTATGTTAAATTTCATGGCATGAGCAGCTGTTTAAAAGATAGCAAGACATATTATAGTAGCCAATTTGGATTTACTACTGTCCTGTTTTGAGGTCCTTTATTGCATTCACTGTTTTGTTTTTATTGGTTCTATTCTGTTCTGTACTGTTCGATTTTTACTATGTCCGAAGCTATCTGCAGCTATTTTGAAGAAAATAAAAGGCATTATGGTAACTATTGCTGATTTCATAAGTTTTTGAAGTCCTGTATCACTTATATTATTTTGATTGGTTGTATTCTGTTTTATTTCCCTTGGTTTTATCCTCTTTAAAAAAAAAAACTAACATTAAAGGTGGCCACACTCACCTGGTCCCACTGTGACAAGTGCCCTGGGTATCAGGGAGGATGCTAGGGAGATTTAGGTGACGGTGATGCCTCTGGGAAGCCCTCCTGGGGGCGCTGAGTGGAGACTTGGCTGGGGAAGTGGAAGGGCAGGGCAGGGCAGATGAGGCTCATGGACTCAGGTGTGAGGAACATCGCCTGGGCAGCCTGGGAGGTCCCCAGAGGCTGACAACTGTGGGACCAGGATCGACAGCCCGACTCTGCTGCCATCCTGCCCCATTTCCTTAAAGGATGACAATGCATCACTGCCGAGTGTGGGGTGAGGGGCCCCGAGGGGACTGGCCCTGAGCAGATGGGACTCAGGTCCAGCTCCGCCTACATCAGGTGCTCTTGAGCAGGTCGCC